AATAAAGAATAAAACATAAATCTTTCATTACATACATCCATTTGATGTCTAAACACCAGATTGTGTAAACCTGTGGAGAGTTTTCTCGTAACCCTGCCAAGTGTTGCTTTCTATGAAAAAGCATGAGGCTGAGTTTTCTCATGGTCATGATCCTGTGTCAGGTCATGACAGCATCATGACCTGACACAGGATCATGACCATAAATCCATAGTTGTTTGAGTAATCTGCTGGTGAATTCCTGAAAGAGTGCTCTGGCATTCCAGCCTTCAGAATGAGTTTTAAGTTCTTTGGATATGGCCATCCTTCATTTTTATTGGTCATCCTTATTGTTCCAGTAGCTCCCATAATTGTTGAGCAGGTATTACAAAGTGACTAAGAATTAAAGTGAAGTCAGTCACAATGTAAGGGTGAAACTAGAACTACCGACTTACAGTGGAATTCCTCCACTAACCCTACAAATTGCAGTTTACATCCAAGTTTGTGCAGATGTGACCTTTGACTTTTTGGATATAGACGTCATTATTTCTTCCTATTAGATATTTCAGTAAAATTTAGTCAAAATTAGCATACGAATTCTTAAATTATGGTGTAAAATTTGTTTTGTGATGTGCGGTGACCTTGACCTTTGATCACCAACTTCTAATCAGTTTCTCTTTGAGTCAAAGTGATAGTGTGTGACAAAACTTGAAGAACTGCCCTTCACACCTCTTCATTTTAGGTTTAGTTTTACAATAACAATTTTACCTTCAAAATATGTACTTTGTACTTGAAATACTAGACTTGTTCTTTGTACATGTCGTTCAAAAGCAGAAACTCTGGGCAGGTGCAGGGTAATAAAGTGGAAGACTGAAGTTAATCTACTGTAACCTTTTGCAAGAAAACTGTGTTATTTCTGTTTTGTTTCCCTGTGAATAACTTGATAACTTTATCTCTGTGACCTCGAGAATATGAAAAATTAATAACACATTACTTTGTATAGAAAGTCTGTTTCAGAGGGTCTGGTCTAAAGCGAGTGGAGAAAATATCAAATTGAAACATGAAGTAGCTGATCTGTAGTCTCAAACTCTTTCTAGCTCTGTGTCCTTGTGGCTTGAACAACCATGATGTCTAAACACCAACCTGTGTATCACTATTGTGCCACTTTTTCTTGTGTCCCTTAATTGTAGCAAATCCTTTCACGTGTATCTGATCTGACTTTTTTTTTTCTCCTGTTATGTCCTACATGTACAAACTCTCATCTCTCACAGCTTTGACATCGAAGTGTTGAACTATAAATTCTTAGCAGAGGACCATCAGTATTAAAAAGATAAACTTACAAACTTGCACCTGTTTTATTCATGGATGGATTCACTTGTGTATTCATGGTTTTGTGTCTTTAAACATAGACTTGACTGAAGCGGAGATGGAAACGTTGTTAAACCTCAAAGTACTTTTTAAAAATGTGGTTTTAATACTTTGTGTCATGGAGTGACAGATGTTTTACAGGTGTTTGTTTAGTTTGTTAAATTATGGGTACTACCTGCCTCAGTGAGAGAAAGAAACAAGACAAGACATGAAGCCATTGTAATGGATATGAAAAGGAAAAGGACACACATACCTAAATATGACTCAGAGGAGTTGATGATTATTGACAATAATGAGTTTCCTGCAGGGGCTTCCTCATCTCGTTAGGACATAATAGGGGTTAGTGACAGTTTGAGAGTATTTGTCTTGACATGGCTCCCAGTGTGTAAAAAAGGCTTTGTATAGTACTAAAAACTGTACAACATCTGAAGTCTATTCATGAGTTGTGGCGAGAACACACAGTCTGTTAGAGCAGTTTTTTGTTTGTCTGATACGTCATGTAAGTGATAGGAGCTTTGGCAGATTCCCAAACTTTAAATACTTTGTGTATATCAATTAATGGTTGAGAGTGATACAATGTGACACTAACAACTAACATGCACAGCAAAACAAAATTTGAAAATTGTGACTAAATGCTTGGCATCCAACCTTAGGTATTGTTAATCTACATTTGTCTACACAACAACGTGTCATTTAATTAAAAAAAAGTAATAATTCACAATCTACATGACTGGATTTCTGACTGTTTATTCCTTCCTTTATTATCTTTAACTGTCTTTTACTGGGTTTTGTTCCTCTTATATATTTTTATATTGTTTTATTCTCTTTCATGCTTTGTGTTTCACCTTCCCCATTTCTTTGCTTTTAACTTCTTTTAATGTCCTTATTTGTTGTTTTCCTTACACTTCTCTTTTAATGTGTAAAGCACTTTGTAACCTAAGTTTATTATTATATATTAACAATAAATTTAGCTTAAACATCAGTACGTCAAAAGCAGAATCTGGAGATTAATGCTGATAGCTTCTAATCTTGTGTTTGTGTATCAGTGTGTGTCTGTGTGAACAAATGTGTGTGGTGTTGGTGATACTGTTATGCATACTGTAAATTTGGCACTGCCTACAAGAAAATTCCACTGAAGTCACCTTCTAATGATAGAGGGAGGAAACTACACACACCCTGTTGCTATGAGCAAACATGCCACTAATCCTACTTCCAGTATCTGAGCAGATGTGTGTTAAAGATTTAATTTTTTTTTTTTTATCAAGCCTGTTGACCTTTCAGTGTGTGAAATAAAGAGTTGCATTGTGGACTGTATGTCACCCCACAACCACGCCCGACTGAATGTAATGACTCATTAACAATACCTTGAGCAGGATTATTTCAGATCAATTTTGGGACTTTTCAGTTGCTGTATTGGTTATTCTGACAGTTTGTTTTTATGTATTGGTGCAAAAAGGCAAAACTTCCAAGATAAATTTCACAGATATGACAACAACAGGTTGTGATGCAATAAATGAAAGCAGGCAAAGGATAAGAATGACAGACAACAAACAAGCCAAAAAGCAAATAGATGAAACCAGTGAAGTATAAACAAAAGTAGATGTCTATCAATAACAGGTCAACTACTACTAATGATAGAGTAGTGCTAATAGCTATGATTGTCATTTTGTTTTAATTTTAAGACAATTTAAAAAGTTAATCTATCAATCATTATTATATTAATCCAATAGATATATGTGGTGTTCATTTTTATCTCAATAACATGAAGATGTTTTATTCACTATGATATGAAACATTGCAAAGAAGACACATTTCTCACATTTAAGAAGGGGAAACCGACAAACGCACTAAGCACTATTTTTCAATGAATACTGTTTTTTGAAAGCACATCCTGCATGTGATTTATTTCATAGCGCTGCAGTTCATTTAATCTTTGTCTAAACTGATCCTTGGGTGCATCTTTCTGCTTCTACTCCCTATAGATAAAAGCAATGCACCACATGATGACTAAAGGTACAGGCAATGAGGAGGTAGCTCATCTAAACAGCACAGACATTTGGATGGTATCCTCATTTTCTTCTTCACCCTTGACCTCCAACCTCCAACTGCTTCCTGCCTGGCTGTGTGGTGCTGCTGGAATGTGTCCTTGAGCTGCTGAGAAGGAGTCGGTAAAACAATATGTCTACAAACATCCCATTTGTGCCATCAAAGTGTGCTGACTTCCGTTAAAGGTAGAAATCACTCTCCAGTTGTCTTTTTAAGTGTCTGTCTGAGGGGACAAAGAGCAGGTCAAAGGTGATGGAGGTCAAGAGCCGACAGGAAAACATATAAATCTACATCTGGGGTTGCACTTGTTCAGGGATTATATGTGTAACGCTCACATTGCTCACATACAGCTGGATCATGGCAGTCTTTACTTTCCATCTTCCTATATAGAAACAGCTCATGCCAATGCAGCTGGCTGCTGTCACTGACAAAGTAATTAGAGACTGCTGCAGTAAACCGGAGGAACAAGCCTTATATTTGGATGCCATATACAATCGCCCCATTTGTGTGTACGAGAAAGAGTCTTTCATGAGTGTGTGGTGCTTTAACCTGAGGGCACGTCAGCAGTTGTTGGGAGGGCTGTGATGTAATTCACCAATGGTTTAATCTGCCAAAAAAAGAGTATCCCCACATGGGGTCTAAACTGTTTTGGTCTGGATAATAATGCAGTGGAAACATTCAACAGTCCTTCAGAGGCAGAAATCACAATTAAGCCTAAAGTTTGTTTATACTCAGCCGCCAGAAAAGACAGATGTGTGTGTTTTGCACATTAAAGAAGACGGGGAGTCTTCCAGTAACAAGCAGATCTGTATTAGAAACAGATTGTTTAAACAACATGAGTGCTTAAGACTTAATAGGGCAAAATAAATAAAAATCATAGAATGGAGATTTTTGCCTATTTGCTATATTTTCACTTACAGTAACATAGGCCTCATCCAGTAGGAGCAGTGATATTTCATATTTTTCAAGACAACAAACAACACTGTATAAATAGAAAATATTTATTTGTGATGCATAAATACAATGGTGCTTTTAGTGGTTGACTGATAGATGACTAGAGGTAGAGAATATACAACTCTGCAGGATAATCAGATCTGTGTAATAAACAACAGCAGAAAAATAGTTGTATTGTTATATTAAAATACTTCTTTACAAGTAAAAGCATTAACATGTTTACTATTTACAGTGGTATTACTAGTATTATTCTCAGATCCAACAATTTAAAGTCTGAAACCCCTTTAGGGCTATGTGAGCCACCTGCTGACTGTAAGAGCCTGGTTTGTATCTGGTGACTATGTGGAAAACATTAAATGTATAAAATTAAGAAGCCGGGAGTGTGAGATTGTATGGACTGAGAACAGGAGAACTAGAATACACTTAAAAAAAAGTAGTTGATACAGTTCAAAGATGATCACTTGTGTTGTAGGGTATCTTAATTTTTTCACATCTTTTAAATTGCTTTAATGTGTATCAATTAGAAATTTGAATAGTCAAAATCAAATTTAGTATTAAGATTTAGCAACAAACAACTTTAAGTATAAAACAAAAGAATGACATTTGCAGTTGGAGCTAGTTGTAGCTATCTTATAGTGTTTAATCTGTAACAGTAAATCATGTTTTGTATTTTGATCACGTTTTGAATTGTTTTAATCTAAAAAGAGATGACATTAATCTGATCAGCAACAGCAGCTGTCAGATACATGTAGTTGAATAAAATCTCCATTATTTACTTTTAAACAGAATAAAACTGATACACTCAAGTACAAGTAGCTCAAAAACTGTTAACACAGCGCTTGAGAAAATGCTGCTTTCCACTTGTGCTGATAAGTTACTACATTTAAACAAAACTTAACATTAGCTTCAGTTCAGATTTGTTTAGTCACATTCAGACAAACCCCTGATAAATAAACACACCTGAGTAATACAAAACACGTAGGATGAGTAGTGGTAAAATGGGACGCTTTCTGAAAATGTGCATTCTGGAGCAATTTACAGAACCACTCTACAGCGTCAGCTCCAAACTTAATGTTATTCTAGAAGCACAACCTCCTTTACTACAATATACGGAAGAAAATATAAAGATAAATGCAGAACTGAGGACTCCATCTCAAACACAACATCCTGAGGCCACTTTTCTACAGATGTTACTGGCAAAATGAGACACCTTCATTGTCAAAATGGGACACCATATACTTTGATATAAAACAGAGAAATTAAAGAAGTCATGTCAACATTTTATTTTCTTTGAATAACCTCACAGTGAAAATACAACCTAATTGAAACAGTAATGTGAACCACTAAAAGGTTTTTGTTAACTGTCCCGATTTGCCAGGTGTCCCATTTTAACAGCACTCGTGCCAATATTGGTGAATGTGACAACTGAAAATCATTCAGTTTACCTGGAAAATGCACATTGAGGAGAGAATATTTGCTTATTAATGATTAAAAATGTGAGATGTGTTGACCCTGGCTGTGTCACCACAGTTTAACACCAAGTCCTGCTTACAGTCTGATGTGTCCACATGTCCAGTAAAACTAGCAGTCCTCGCTTTGTAGCATAGACAGGAAGAAGGAACACACACTGGCCCACGAGCTGCTGCAGTAATCTTCGGCCGTTTTGCTGTGGTCCGCGCGCTTCGTGCAGGCTGTGGGTCCGGTGCCGGTGCCGGGAGAGGAGGTGGTGGTGGTGGTTCGGGGTGGCGGCGTCGGGACATCTCCGGACTGAGCGGCGGACACGGAGCTGAAGATGTTCAGCTTAAAGTGCGCGTCTTTCGGCGCGCGTTTGCACATGCCGGCCTTCACCAGCGCGCGCTCGTCCTTGCACACTTTACTCTGCAGCTTCTTGAGCGCGCGGCCCACCTGCTTCCAGAAGCCCCGGGGGTCGGACAGGTAACCCGGGCACGTCGCAGGCTTGGCGTTGTACTCACAGCTCAGATCGGTGACCCCGCCTTTGATGCGCGCCTCCGGGTTCTCGCACTTGACCGGCAGCTTCACTGTGTCCCCGACCACTCTAACGCTCCACGTGCACTGCATCTTGTCCCTGGTGGAGAACTTCCCTCGGGCCCCCTTGTTGTCGCTCCTCTGCGCTCTGCCGGTCAGCTTGTCCGCCGATCGAGCAGCGGAAGAGAGAGAGACCTGCTGCCCGAGGAAAGCCAGCAGCAGGCAGGGAGCGAGAGTCCTCAGCAGCAGCATGTCGTCTTTTCGCGGGACAAATATGCACCTGAGGGGACAGATGATGGTTAGCAGAGAATGCTGTTATGTGCGAAGCCCGTAACGCTGCAAAAATGGCATCCACAACAATGACAAAAAAAAAAAAAAAAAAAAAATAGAATAGAATACAACCCTAAGTAGGGGTTTGGTTACAATTGGCAAGGGTTTTCGTTCCAATCTGAAACGCTATTACGCATATAACAATAAGGTGCAATTAAATATCTGTTAATTCAGATATCATCCTACAGTATACTATACACCCAGTACATACAAGAAACCCACATACACTCTGTCTAACTTACCAATAATGACAAGTGTTGCTGTGCGTAAAACTGCTTCTTGTGGCTCTCTGCGCTCTGGCACATGGGTTTCATACAGAGATGCTGCGGCACGCCCACTATTCCCGCCCAACAATACTCTCTCTCTCAAACACACACACACACCCTCTCTCTTACGCATGCACCTCCACGTAAGTCCATTGAGAAAAATTTTGGCAGCAGTTGCTGATGGGAATGCGTTTTGTTCAGGCATGTCCTGACCAGCCCAAACTTCCAGCCTTTAACAGCAGTGGCCTGATCTAAAGATCAAAGAGACTGACAGCTCAAGCTGATGATGGAGCTGCGTGTCTGTACAGACTGTGAGGTTATTCTAAGGAACTGTAACAAGCCTGGTTATTATTACAACCCAACCTTAATCACACGTCTGTGCACACAAAATCATCTTGAGGGCTTGACTCCAACATTTTTTTAAGGGTTCTTAGATGGTTTGGTTGGTTGTAGTATAAACTGCTTTGCCACAACATGAATTAAAATCAGCTGTTTAGTATTGTGTTGGCCCCCCAGCACTGCCAGATAAACTGCTCTGATCCATTGAGGCCTGGACTCCACAGACCTCTGAAGGTCTCCTGTGGTATCAGGAGCAAATGCTTTATGTCTTGAGGATGTGAGGTGTTACCTCTGCAGATTTTAGTTGTTTTTCTAGCAAATCCCACAACAGATTGAGAGCTGGGGAGTTTCGAGGCCCTTGAGTTCTTTGTCATGTTCCTCAAGTGATTCTTGATTTTTGTGTTGGAACAGGAAGCGCTAAACTGCTGAAAGGTGACTGCCATCAGAGTACTGCTACCAGTAGGGGATGTACATGGTCTGTAACGATGTTTAGCTGGGTGGTACATGTCAAAGTAAAATCCACATTAATGCCAGTACCCAAGGTTTCCCAGCAGAACATTGCAGAGCATCACATTGCTTCTGTCAGCTGACCTTCTTCCTATAATACATCCTGCTGTTGTCTTTTTCCCAGATAAACAACACACATGGACATCCACATGATTTAAAGAAAGCCGGATTCATCAGACCAGATCAGACTTTCTTCTTTTGCTCAGTAGTCCAGTTCTGGTCCTCATGAGCTCATTGTAGGTGTTTTCAGCAATAAACAGAGGTTGACATGGACACTGTGACCAGTCCGAGGCTACACACCCCCATATGCAGCAAGATGTGATGCAGTGTGTGTTCTGACAGAAACTCTTCTGTGCGTTCAAACCACTTGGGCCAGTCTTCACTGCCCAACTGCATCAGTGAGCTTTTTCCAATTTACCAGCTGACCTTTCAAGTTTTAGAAGATGCCAACCACTGCACTCTAGGAACACCTTACAAACCCTCCTGCTTTGGACTGACCCAGTCATCTAACCACCACACTGTGTCAAATTTGTTCAAATCCTTGTGCTGCTCATTTTTTCTGCTTCCAGTGCATCAACTTCAAGAACTGACTATTGTCTTGCATCGTTGTACACCCCACCTCATGACAGGTGTCACTGTAACAAGACGATCAGTGTATTTACCTCACCTGTCAGTGATCTTGTTGTCATGGCTGATTGATGTATGAACTAAACATGTTCAAACACTGGAAGCAAAGCACGAAAATTATCTAAATTCAAGACCCTAAAGATGCTATAATGAGTAATTTTATAATGACACAATTTTATAATGAATGCACTAAATGACTGTAAATGGTGTTGCAAGGAGGGATGAAAATATACAGAACATACAAATCTGCAGTTCCCCTTCTCCATATGTAGCTTTTTAGGGCATTTTATGACAGTGTTCAGCGGTGCAGGCAGCAACTTTACTGCTTAGGTTTCCCCCTGTTGCTCTTATATTGTTTTTGACCACACCAATCAACCATTTTCCGGGAAAAAGCTTTAAAAACAGGCTGCACACTCCCAACACAGCCTTTATAATGGAAGGGAATAAGAGATAGCTGGTGAACATAATGGAGCATTTAGCTGCTAAAGAACCAAATATTTCTTCTGGGAGTGTGCAGGGACCACAAACTGAGCAGAGAGTTGATGTTGGAGCAGTCAGAGACACGAGTCCAAATGAGCAACTCTTTTGCTGTAAAACCTCTCGATCTGTGAAGAGGGATTGTTTTTAGTTCACCATATCAACTTTAAAGGAAAAATAATCTGTAAATGTTGTGTTCGCATCTTGTTTCTGTAGCCATCAAGTGGATGGAAAACTGTTATTGTAGGTATATATGGTGTTTAAAATAGTTACATGTTTTCCACTGCAGATATTCGGACTTGAAAAGCTCAGTTATATGACTGTATAATACAAACAGTCCAGTAAGTCATGTCAGTGAGCCAGCAGGCACAGTACCAGTCACAGCCATGATTTACTTTATTATGTGCACTCATATTGTAACAAAAAAAAGTTATTTTGCTTCTGCTGTAGGACAACTGTAGCTTTGTTTTTGGTTTTGATGGCATTGACCACATTGTCAGATCCACCTGCCTCGGTTTCGTCTCAAGCACCATCATCTGTCCCACAGTAACACATTTACCAGATGTCAGCACCTTCTTTCGCCATAAAATCTCTGCTGGTCGTCCTTCCTCCTGTGATTTACACCTGACATTAACTCTGAGCTGTCCGTTATGGACTCAGCTCTGCTGATTTTGTTGGTAGACTCAGTTTCCTGAACAGTGCATTGCTCGTTTCTCTAACAGACTCAAACCTCTGACCATTCTCCAGACTGCAGGTTCATTTTTGTTCATTTCTACTAACTTTCTACACAAACTGTCCTCACCACACTTGCATTGTAAACTTTTTGTCTGGCACAAACCTGGTTTTTAGTTTTACATTTTATTAACTTATCAAAGTCTGGAGATATCAGAAACCCCAAAATGACAGAAGTCCCTGTAAAAAAAAAAAAAAAGTGCAGATCTTCAGTGATTTTAGTGAATCTCTCAAGGAATTGTTGTAGTCTAATTTTTTTGTTTTATTTTTTCTAATAGATAAATGTATTTGGAAAATGTCATTAAAAAGATGTGATTCAGTTTATTTACATGTCAAGTTTATCTTCAAAATAAATGCTCATGACAGTTGTGGGAAATGCTTTTAGCAGATCTTCTCAGCCTGTCTTAACAAGGGCATATATATAAAAATATACATATACAACATGTTCAATGTTCTCACAGATGAATAAAGAAACTGCAAAAAACAGTTGTGCCTAAACATCTGATGGGCCTGATTACAGCAGTGTCTGGATTTTTTGACTAGTAAAAAAGAGTTGTAACTCATCTCACTAACGTTGTCTGACAGGTGTTCCAGTTCAAATGTCCCCTTTCAGTCATGCATTTAGACATTTCAACTTACTCTCCTTGAAAAATAAATTCTAAATTCTTGTAGATTTTCCACAGAAACACTAACTTAATGTCAACTTATTTTCCTCTTATTCTAAAATTCTGTATTATTATATTATTATTTTCATAATAATGTGTTTGAAATTCTGTGTATATCACACTTCTTTAAGTTGCTTGTTGTTCAGAGATTGATTGAAACACTTCTGATGCTCTTACATTGACAATAGTTTTACTTTAAGTTCAGACTAACTCAGCAGATGAATGTAAACACTTCTCTGCATGTTCATCATTCCGACCTGAAAACAAACAACAGCACAGTAATGTGAAATATTTGATTTACTGAAGCACTTTAATGGAACTGAGCCATCATTTACATTATTAATCACCCCTATGCTTTGTAATGAAAAGTCCAAATTTCTCTTAGTCACTGTTTTGTTTGACTTTTTCCTACTTATGGGAGTTTGTTCCTATGCCAACTTTTTTACCTCCAGTAAATTTGATACCACCACAAGATTCATCCAGAGCTCACCTCAGGAACCTTTACCAGTTCAACATATTACAAAATTAAACAAAAATACAGTTTATTTTGTGGTTTTGGTGCCATTGGGAGGACCTGCATATCACTTACAACCGACCACTGATTCATGAGGGTAAGTCAATAAATCCACACCACCCTGTCATCATGTTTCTTTCCTGTAATGACACGGCTGCAGCAGGTAGGAACACACACATCATGAGAACCAGGAAGGAGCCTCATAAGGATCCTGTGGGCACCTGTCCAACAATCTCACAACTTGCAGCAGTTTATTGCTGTGAGTTACTGTGTAGGAGGAAGTGAACAGTAGCAGGCAAGCTCTATGGGTGTGTGTGTGTGACATGTGTTTGCACAGTCACATTATAGGGTCCTGCCTCCCATTTAGTGACATAAAGCAAGTCACCATATTTCAAGGTGAATTCCTGGTTTAACATACATGTCAGGTTTGGGTTAAAGTTTGGGTTAGGGTCAGTTTCTAGGAAATGAATGAAAGTTAATGTAATGTTCTTTGAAGTGATGGAAACAGTGGTCATCTTTCTATTCTAATTTGTTTCGGATATATTTTGGTTTGAAATTTTTATAGTGAGGACGTTTTAAGGTTTTAGAGGTAAAATTAGGTTCTCAAGGGCTCACGATGGTGTTGTACTGAGTGTCCTCACAAACACAGAAAGGCACTCTTAGACTTTAATGATAACAGTGTCTCTGCTCAGTAGCACCATCTTGTGTTCACTTGAGGTTCTACAGCATAAATATATATGATCAGTGATGGAAAGTGACTACTAAAATGCTGTACTTATTTTACTTTTCTCTCTGTTACATTTGTTTGATCCACATATTTATTTTACAGAATAAGACTTTACACAAGCAAAATTCAACACACTGTTAAAGAGGAATTCATGGATTTCAAATCTTTTTGTCTTGGGTCCTCACAACTTAAAGTTTCACAGCTTGGCCACCACAGAGAGATTTCATCACAAAATTTTTGTAGATGGCTTCATTTGTGTCCAAGGTGCAAATAGGTCAAATAATCCTATAATTCACAAAGCTGAAAGAAATACACTTTGTTTTTCTTCTCCTCTGCTCCGTTAATCATGTCAGAGCCCCTCAGATTCACTGTGACCTTTAAGAGGGGGTCTGACCCTGAGGTTGGGAACAGCTGGACTGTGTTACCTAAAGGTAAATAAAGTCCGAAAAATTTGCACCACCTCAACAAGCTTCAACAGCAAGATGCTACTTCTGCACTTACATAACAGGATTTATGCATCATGTGTAACTACATCATCGATATTGCACTAATACTATATTTTGTCACATGAATGCAGGACTTTTACATATTTATTTTTACAGGGTTACATTTGTGCTTTTAAATTTCTGCAAATTAACATTTCATCACTGAATTTGATCAAGTGCTCCATTATTCATATATGGTAAGATAAGTGTATTCACAGTATATTGTCTCTTATACCTTGTGCTAACAATGGAGTGCACAAGAGAGACCTTAAATAAAAAGTCTCCCTTGACTTTGTTTATTGTTGCTGTCATTTTTATTATTTTATGTGCACTATAAAATGTGAGTGCATTTAGAAAGCTTTGGGTCAACTATGTGTACTTAATTATTTATATTTTAAACATGCATTATCACTCTGTCAATTTGTAAAGTTAACATGCAGCTGCTTAACAGAGCTGATGTCAGGATTAATGAGTATTTAAATGAAAGTGGTCTGTTTATTCTGCATCATTTTTTAAGATGTCACTTGTGTTCGAAGATTTCAAAGTAACCAACGCTGATACTGTGGCTGCCTTTTTTTATAGCTACAAAATAAGCTTTAATGTTGTTAAAATAATCTTTTCCCACACTTTGACAGTGTGATGTATGCTCTGAGTTGGCTTGTTTTACCTCTTCATTGATATTGATGTTTGCAATTAGTGAATTATATTAGTTAATATTCAAACCCCAAGACTCCATGTTTTCTGGCTGCATCTTTCAGATAAATTGAAATATTATGACCTCTTTGCATCACTTTACACATTTAAATTCAACCTTATATATTTGGTAGCTTTAGAAACTTTGGGTCCCACAGCAGGAATCAAAGTGAATCACTGTGAGTTTAAATGATGTTTAGCTGCACCTAATAAGTTTATAATGACTGAAAACTACTTCTTGAAGTGTGAAAAAAATCTAAATGAGTAAAAGTGATTTGAATCCTCACTGGTGTGTGTGTGTGTGTGTGCGTGTGTGTGTGCTAACAACACTAGTGCTGCAGCCACATTCATTTCCACTCGTCTTAGACCTCCAAACAGACCCCCTCTGTTCCTGCACACAGCAGCTCTTAGGACTCAGTTCATCAGCTCATACAAAGAAGTGTTTAGCTCCGCTCAGACACCTTCTGTGACTGAGCTGTATTCTCTTTACTGCAGTCTGGGTTCACTTTGACTGTGTCTGGACCGTAACAACTTCCTCAGTCAGGCAGCAGACATGTTGTTACAGCCGGCGACAAAGAGAAACAAGGGCCCCCTTGAATCACTGAGTGTAAAGACCTGCTGCTTGTTTCAGCTCAGCAGAAAAAAACAGAGCAACACAGACGAGGAGAGGTCACCACTCTGACTTTATTCTCTTCATCTTCACATTTTCTTTCTTGGAATAAATGCTGTTGAAATATTTGCGTGACATTAGAAGGGAACTTTACATCATATACAAACAGAAACTCATGCCTGCCATATTTTCCCTTTACCTTGCTGTGTTTTACAGATTTAAAAATGGCATGCACACCACATGACACCAGTCTAGTCGTACGCAAGTGTACGTCAAGTGTTTGGGCTCAGCCTGCTGAATGTGCGGAGTCGGATGCCACAAAGCGACGAAATGACTCCAGAGGCTCTCACACAGATCCTGGAGAGGTTCAAAGATAGAAGAGTCGGTTGATCACTGGTGATTCCAACCTGGAAGAACAACAAAAAGGCACTCAGGAACACACACTTTTTCATTTGAAATCGTCTTTACATTAGCTAAAACTCTGAGAGACACCTTTGTTCTTCCGTTGTAAACTTTATTAACATGCATCTTCCTAAACGTTCACTCTACCTTCCCTCTTTTCTTTTCTTCTTCTTCATATTTCTGTCACCCACCTGTGTCTGCAGTGGCGTCTCAGTTTTGGAACCAGCTGATGAAGTAGGTACAGATGCCATGGAAGCTCTTCCAGCAGTATTCAGTAGCCATGCGGGAGGCTTTGGAGCCAGGCTGCTCTGTGGGACGAGTAGTGGTCTTCCCAGGCTTGAGGGTAGTTTTCTTGGTCTGGGGGCCCTTGCCTGGCTGGGGCTTGATGGGCTGAGACTGGGGCTTCACAGGTTTAGGAGTAGTAGCCGGCTTGGTCTGGGCTGGCACTGCTGGTCTACGTGGCTCCTGGACGGGCTTGGAGGGCTTTGGGGTGGTGGTCTTAGGCCAGGAGGCCAGGAAGGTCATCTGAGCCTCGTCAGGGTACTTCTTGCACATCTGGGGGCGGTAGATTCTGGGTCCCTGGCAGGCATGGCTCAGCTTCCTCAGATCCCACATCATCTGGGTGAAGTAGTGGCGAGGGTTGAGGTTGTAGGCGCGGCACAGGTTGGGTTTGCCTTGGAAGTCGCAGTAGTAGGAGCGTCCTGGGGTCTGACCTTTGCAGGAGACACGCAGGCGAGTATAGTCCCCAGCTCCGGACACCACCATGGTGCACGAGTCTTTGGTCTTGGTGTTGAATTTGATGGCCTCATCCCAGATGCTGCGTTGCTGCTGCTGCTGCTGCTGCTGTTGCTGCTGCTGCTGCTGCTGCTGCTGCTGCTGCTGAGGCTGAGGCTGCTGTTGCTGCCTGTTGTCGTTGCTGTTGTTGTTGGTTTGAGCGTTTGAAACACAAACAGCTGCTGCCAAGACCAGCAGCAACAATCTCATCCTGGCTCTCATGGTGGCGTTAGGTGTGGTGGTAATGGACGGGCGTGGATGGGGGTTGATGTCTATGTCTGCACTGAGGGTGAAGGTGTGCAAGGATTTTATAGCGTGTGAGTGCTACGTTATAAGGCCGATGCTCACAAAGACGGTATTATGCAGGTGATCGTAATGACTCAAACTCCTCCTCCACACACACACACACACACACAGAGATCAACCACAAGGCGGGATGGCTGGAGGGAGGGGGAGAACATAAACTTAGGAAGGAAGAAGGTGAGGGGGGGAGCAGTCTGCGGGAGTCGAGGGGGGAAGCAAGAGGTCTGAAGGAGGCACACACGAGACCGTATGTTGTGAAAAAGAGTTGCACAAAATTATATAATCTCACATAAGCGGTTCTTTGACTATTGATGAGGAGGAGAGGAGCGAGAGCTCAGAGCCAATTTGCAGCCTGAAATCTTTTGCTGAAGAGCCAGAAGTTGATCTGCAACCCTATATAAAAAATAAAATACTCATCCTGATCTACTTCAAATGACTTTGACTTTTGTGGCAGTGTTGAAAAAAGAAGCAACAAATGTCTGCTTCTAGCTACCAGTGGAGGTCACAAAGTTTACAAAGATGCCAAGTTACGCCATCCTGAATGGTCGAGATATACAGTGTCACTTTGTACACTACTGTGATAGAATGGTGCAGCTCTTGATAACATAGTGCTGAGTTTGAATATTTAACTCAGAATATCACATTGTGTATCTGTTATGAGGGTTTGTGCTGGTGTGTGCAAATTATTCAGGAAAAATGTTTTGGTTACATCTCGTCATTCAGAAGCTTATTTAGTCATAAATAGGCTAAATAGGCATCTTCAAAGCTCATTGGCTAATTATTCTTAGCAGGAACAGACCTCTGATGAAATTAGAGACGGAGATACAGACAAATTAAAGATAAAAACCCTTTTCCCCTACACTGAAGGGGGCTCTATTGTGCTGTGGGGGGCATTTTGCCAGCATGGTTTGGGTCCACTTATGAAAAGAAAAGGGTTACTGCAAATCAAAAGAAAGCTGCTTTAAGGAATTACCTTTATCCTGTGATGAAACATGTCTTTCCTGATTGAACTGGTCTTTTCCACGATGACAACGCCGCTATGCAGACGGCACAAGGGGCCACTGATTGATTTGATTAGAATAAAAACTTAATCATATGTTACAGCCTTCACAGTCACCAGATCTCAACAGAAGTAAACAGCTATAAGGGACTTGGGACTGATGTGTTGGACAGTGCTCTCCATCACTATTATCAGAACCCCAAATGAGGGAATATTTTTGGAAGTAATGATGTTCATCCCTTCAGTAGAGATTCAGATATTTTGAGAATCAATGCTAAGGACCACTGAAGCTGTTCTTGCAGAACATGGTGGCAAAATACCTTAAAGAACCAGTCGTGACTTGACATTCTGACCCTTAACAATCTGAAAACCTTGGTGTCTGACAGGTTTCTAGGAAAAACGAACGGAACCCATGAAAAATAGCCTTACATACGTACGCCAGACATCATAGGTACAATTGTATCTACCAAGTTTTCACCAGCGTTCAAGAAGTCACAGACTACATCATACACTGTCATGGAGAGACCGACCAAGCGGAAACGGACAGAGATAGCAGTAGCAGTGAAAAAAAGCTCTGTGTTAGTACAAGCTAGAACATCCGAAATGTTCCCAGGACAGATTGGGACAGTTCATAAAAGACACCTTTGGGCGGCGGCTGTGGCTCAGGTGGTAGAGCAGTTGTCCTCTGACCGTAAGGTTGGTGGTTCGATCCCCGCCCCCTCCACAGTCGAAGTGTCCTTGGGCAAGACACTGAACCCGAAGTTGCTCCCAATGGCAGGCAGCACCTTGCATGGCAGCTCTGTCGCCATTGGTGTATGAATGTGTGTGTGAATAAGAAACATTGTAAAGCGCTTTGAGTCCCGCAAAGGTAGAAAAGCGCCATATAAGTGGAGACCATTTACCTATTCTGTGACAATCGGCCGATCAATATTATATACGTAGATAGCTTATTATAACAATAAATATTAACAACAAATCCTCCTTCAGGCATCAAGCCCTCCTTGTATCTCGACCTCCGTCTTGACAATCCGACAGCCTTGCTATCCAACTTAAAAGAAGGTTTTACATTTAGTGTCAGATTATCAAGTCACAACTGTACTTGTGTTATTTGCTTGAATTTCTGACCTATGTATATGTACTATTGCGTAACTAGCATTACAGTTTGCATGCTGAGTCTTGTCTCTTGTTTTAGTGTTGCTCCTGACCACATAATTGCAACCTCACTTTAAAGTTCTTGGCACATTTTTTTTTGGCATTTTTACCCTGTATGTACATGGATGGTTACAGAGGGGGAACATGACATGCAGTATGGATCCACGTGGCCGGGAGTCAAACTCTGAAGGTTGTGGCTTTGTGGTATGCGCTCATTAGTGCATCAGCATGCCTCAAGCTGTCAGGAATAGTTTGACGTTTTGGGAAATGTGTTTATTTGCTTTTATCCTGAAAGCTCAATGAGAAAATGAAGACCACTCCAATGTCTGTCCGTTAAGTATGAAGTTACAGCCACAGACGATTAGCCTAGCTTAAAGGGGGGAACAACTAATCTAACCAATGTGTTCAGTCAGAAGACATGGTGAATTTCACAGGTGGTCCAACTGCACAGAACTGCATTATGAATCTGAGGAGCTGTTTGGGGCAACTTCGCACACATGGTCCAATGGTGAAGGTTTCAGAGCTCACATGAAGTTGCATTTTTATGTTATGTTTTTTATGTGCTTATTGATTATACCCTATAAAACTACAACTTTAGTTTACATACTTTGGTTATTGAAGGAATTCCCAAGACATGACATGTGACTTAATGTAATGTTAAAGGGGTCATATTATGCAAAATCCTTTTTTTAAAAATTGTTTTTGAACATAGTTCTGTGTCCTCAGTGTGTCAACAGATCTACAACTTTGGGAAAAAAAGACCATCCTTTGTTTGTTGTTGATCACAAAGTCAGCTCAGTTTGCAGGCCACAACAGGGTACGTACCCGGTTACTGAAATGGTGGTGGGCCGCAGCATCTCAGTTGGATTAAAAGCTATAGACTCTGAAACAGCCCGTTTGGAACAGGGCTGAAACAGTAGTATTGCAGGCATGTCAGAATGAATGTGTTAACCAGTATTTTGAGCTGAAACTTCAAATACACACTCGAGAGACATTTGAGGGATTTACATTATCTTGTTAAAACGGGATGCATTATGGGACCTTTAAAATCCAGGTTAGCTGTCTCTGTGTACTAGCTTCAAATTTAATGAACAGATGTGAGAATGAAATGTGTTTTCTTCTCCAAGTTGGCAAGAAAGTGTGATAGCATTTTTCCTAAAACGTCAGATTGTTTCTTTAAAGTTCCTTTCTTTGTTATTCATTTATCCCCGAAAAACTCTTAATTTTTCCCCCATGATAATAGTCCCTCCCCACCTAAAAATGGTTTAGATGTAACACCACACTGTTGTTTAGTCTAGAATGTGCAGGTTAGTGAGGTCCCTGCCTCTTTCTCTGCTGACCCCTCCCCAGTTGCTGCAGCTGGAGCACAACAGCTCACCTACAACTCTGCTCAAACACTGTTAAACTACTGTCGCAACACAACAGTGACGAACTCTGAAGGAAATGCCACCCTGCAAGATCAAAGGTTTTGGTTCCTGAGGTTTGTTGTGTGAATGAAACCCTGGAAATCAGAATCCATTTTTTTCTAAACTGTGGAAATGCTTAGCAATGGTGTTGACTTCTTATTTTGCTCATGGGTCTTGTAGCACATAAAAACACTGCATGGACATATTAACAAGGTAGAAAAAAAACATTTCACCAAACAGAAGTGCAAACAAAGAAAATAACATAACGTCGTGGGTTAATGCATTGTTGCACCAGCCAAGTCACGTAACTCACAAAATGAAGTGAAGATGCACAAGTTATTAAGAATAAAACACAGTGTAATCGAATCGGATAGTTTAACTCTAAATACATGCACATAAATATTATCATCCCTTAGACTATACTGGTCCAAAGGTTCTGAGCTCAAAACCAGGCCTGACTGAGCTGTACAGTGACTTTGAGCTTTTGAAATTGAACAGAAAAACAGACGCTGCCTTTAAAGCGCCTGAAATATTCCACATGAACCAGCGGGTTTTGGACACAGAGCGGAAGAAGAGAGTGTGTACAGCCGGCTTGCATGTATGCCCTCAGTACATTCAGGAAGTTTTATTTTTATAGCCCTCAATGTGGTGGGCAAGAGAAAATGTAAGAGACACCGGGAATGTAAAGTAAACATGTCAAAGGTGTGTGCGTACGTTGTCTGGACCAGATGTTTTCCTAAATCAAGTGCAGTCCTCCTCTGATAGGGTGCAACAGCATCGCGCCACCTCAACCCCCCCGGCGGCCCCCAGCCCCGTCACTCCCTGCAAACCTGTCAACCCCCAGCTGCTGTGCGCATGTATTTCGCTCTGCATATGTTACATGAATGTTCTTTGCGTTCCCAAGCATGCTGTGTGTTTTGGCAGGAAAGCTGCTTCTGGATTCTGGACGGTTTAACACATCTGTGCATTTGCTTTGTGTGTGTGTGTGTGTGTGTGTGTGTGATCGGATTCTGTTTTTTATTGAGTTTGTGAAGTTTTAAAGAGCATAAAAGCTCATTTTAAAGGATAGTTTGAGTGATTTATGACACATAAAAGTTACCAGAATTTCCTTTGTGACTGTGTATATCTGCCACAGTGTGTTTAAGACTGCGAACACTGGTTGTAATTTATGAATCTCATTTATGGAAGAAAAACAAAACAGACACTTACTAAACTTAAGTTTTTATTCACAGATTTGCACCCTCACCACAAACTCTTTTCGTGTGTCCCTCAGACCTCACTGAAGCTTCTGGGAGCCGTATTTCTCAAACCTTTGACAACACAAGCAACTAGGCCCTCACTAATGGTCTGGCAAAAAAAATGCCTAAGACGCAACATTTTGTGTGTTAGCTGTCATAAAACCTTGTCAGGGAAACGTGTATGTAGCTGATGCATGTGCGTTGAATAGCTTGTAACATTTTGCTTCAGGCAGTAACAAGGACCAGGACAAGCTACGGGTTCTTTGTGTCTCAAGGGTTTGAATACTGAAACAACCTAAGCTGCCAGGTTAGTCATTTAGTGTTTAAAGGTCCAGTGTGTCAGATTTAGGGGGATCCAGTGACAGAAATTAGCTAGAATATTCATAATTACGTTGTGTGTTACGTCATGATATCGTTACAGAAGGAGCTGGTTTTACTCCATGGAGTCTGCCATGTTGCTCCATGCTGTTTCTCCAGTAGCCCAGAAAGGACAAATCAAACACTGGCTCTAGAGGGGATGTTTCACACTTTTAAATCACTGTCCACTCTCCTAAACATTTGAAGGAGGAGGTAAAAGGTATTTAGTTGGATTTCAATCTGCAACCTCACTGCTAGACACCACTGAATCCTTTACGCTGGACCTTTAAAGGGATAGTTTGACATTTTGGGAAATACTTTTTTTAGTTTCTTGCTGAGTTAGCTGAGATGATCAATAGCTTTCTCATGTCTGTATCGGAATATGAAACAGCCTAGAGGTGCGGACCTTAGCTTAGCACAAAGGCCAAAGATGGTGGAAAAAGCTCATCTGTTTGAAGGTAACAAATTGTATTTAAAGCCAGTTCAGCACTTTGGTCCAGACAGAAATATCTCAACTGTTGGACGGTTTACCATGGCATTATGTAAAGACATTCACGAGCATGAATCATATGAACATCCTCTTGCTTTTCCCTTACGAGCACCAGGAGGTTGTCATTTTTGGCTTTTGGTAAAATGTCTGGGCGACTATTTGACGGGCTGCAATTCATTTTTCTGCAGACATACATGTTACCCAGAGGATGAAAAATAAATTAGAATTAAGTTAGTAAATAAGTACACTAAACAAAGGCAGGTAAACATTGTAACATGGTAAACATTATACCAGCAAAACATTAGCATGTTGGCATTGCCATGGTCAGCTTCTTAGCATGCAGACATTAGTATTTACAGTAGCTCAAAGCACAGCAACCATTACTTTACTCCTTGTCTTGCTTGACTTTTCTTTTATCTTTGTCTTTTGCTAAGCTAAGCTAACCAGCTGCTTGTATTCGACATACAGGCTTGACAGTGGCATCTTCTCATTCTGTTCTCAGCAAGAAAGCAGTTGGTGTGTTTTCAAAAATGTCAAACTATTCCTTAGAAATGTTCCTGGTGAACTTGTTGAACCAAAATGCTGCAAGCTATATTACAAGCATTGACAGAGAAAAAAAACAGAAATGGGCTACTACTACAAAAAACTACTTACATGTTATAAAACAAAGATTAACAAAAATATATAAAACTTCCAAAAGTTTTGAAAGTGTAAAAAATGTACACTTGTGTCACCGTGTTAGAACTGATAATGTAAAGGACAAATGCATTCGCTACAGGTAAAACTAACTATGGAAGAACAATGTTCTGTCTGTTGATTGTGTACAGCATGAAACACTAGAGGTGCGACCAGAAGCTGGTTTGAGCGAGAGAACACATTGTCGGTTTACAGTTGACTGGCATCAGAGTTCCTTGTCAAATGGCCTGAAAGAATATCGAGCGGTGGGTCACCCTCACCGTACAGTTCCTGATTGTTGTTGTTCTTCCCTTTTGTCCTTGGAAATGCTACAAGATCTAAAGAGGACAGCTGCAAAGTCCAGTGATCCTGGAAAGGAGAGAAGCCGTGTCAGAGATAAACTCTAGACTGTCTTCTTTTTTTAATCTTTGAGGGAAATGAAGGCGAGAAGTGGACATGTGAGCACTTACCACAACGGTGAGATCAGTTCCAGCTCTCCTGTCCACTGTGGAGAAAAACAAGACAATCAAGTTTGGGTTTATCAACCATTTCAAACCTACAATACAGCAGTATGTGTTAGTTGGAGTCAAAGAAAAGTAAAAATCCAAAAGACCTGCCAGATGTTCTGTCTTTGTATGAGTTACGGAGTCCAATGTCTTTATTTCAAGTTCATTATTATGAATCACAGACATCAATGCTTTGTCTGGAAAACAACTTAACCAACTTACTTACCAAAACATCACCTTGTCATACAGTTTGGAGCATTCAAGCCCATAAATGTGGAAACTGTTGAAAGGTATAACTGCACATAGCAACTAAATTGCGCACTAATGCAGCGTGATTTACATATTTGTGAAAAGTTGCTTCTCATCTAGTGTTGTCGTTACCAACATTTCTGGCTGGACACTCATTAAAATAAAACAAACAACCTCTATGAATTATACATGTTTATGACTGTGAGCACTTCTGTTTAAAAAAAAAGAGCATGTTTTTCTCTAAGCGTATAACATTGTTTCCTGTCCTAATAACCATCTTGCGACTCATCAGATTTATCATCGCAACCCTTTGCAAAACAATTCCTATTTATTCAACGTATTTTTTAATGCTGAAAACAACATGTGAAGACCCAAGTAAATGCGCTTCTTTCTTCCTGAACAGTGTCTTCTGAAAGCCAGACAAATCCAAAAATGAGCAAGAAGAGTTGGGTGAATATGAGGAGTTACAGCTAACTTGGTGAGTCCTTGTGTTTGAATGTTTTGAGAGACAGCTGTGATGGATGACGGATGAAGACGAAGAAATGCTGACAAGAAAAACAGGAATGACGAAGCATCTGTCAGTCTCTGGGTGACGTCATCCTGATGATGAGTAGATAGTTATTAGATGGTTGTAGTTGTTAGATGAGAGTTAGTGGATAGTCATCACTGATCATCAATACCTTGTCAACAGGGAGAGCGTTCCTGCGGGTCACCAAACGGAGTAGCTCGGGGGAGCAGAGGCCCGAGGAAACCGAGTCAAAGTGTCACTATAGGGAGAGCTAAATGTACACACACACACACACACACATTCTTTGTAGATTTTACACTTGTGGAAAAAATTAATTACTTGCTGACCTGTCTGCAGAGTCTAAACGCCACAGACAAAAATATCCCTCCACCAATTAACACTGCCGCATGCAAGCAAGTAGAGTTAGGTGGGCATGGCTCGTACCTGAGCACAGCGAGGTTTCCACGGTTATCACACACTTGTTCACCATGATTACCTGTATTAACCATACTGCAACACAAGAGCGAGGGAGGACAGATGAGAAAGAGAATGGGAAGACTCCTCTGAAAGTAACAAGGATGGAGTGATCCACTGAGAGGAAATCAAGTGGATGGTGGGAGTGACAAGGACGTCAGAGTCCATGCAAAAAAGATGAAAGACCATGCTTGTGATTTCAGATGGAAAAAAAGTGAGAAAGGTGTGAAGCGATCCAAAGCGGAAGTATCCTGTACCGAAAACAGAGTGGGTACGATGAAGAAGGCGATAAGGTGCATGAATAGCTGACAAACGTCAAAGTGCAACAAGCCATGGGTAAGAACAGCTGGAGAGAGAGAGCGGAAATAACACCAGGAGGAAATGTGAGGAGAAATGGTGTCCGTGAAAAAGAATAATGGCAGAGAGAAGGAAAGAAAAGGATTAATTATTTCTGCTTTGATCTACATCAGAAAAGATTAAGAAAAAAAGAAGCACAATTAAAAGTTTCTGATTCTGACTATATGTACAAAAAGTGTATGTGTGTTTCGACTCACTCTTCAAAGACGTCCTCTGTGTCCATTCTTCTGTAATACTTGGCCAGTTTGACAGAGATGATGATGCTGGGGATCAGAAGGATGCAGCAGCCTCCAAGACCAAACCAGAATGTGTTCTGAAAACAAATAACCAGCAACATTTCATTAATTCCTGTCACTCTCAACTGAACACTAAGCACTCTAAGATGGATCTCTAGTGCTCAAAATGTTAGTATGCTAGATAGTGAATCATAAAGTGATTTTTTTAAAACTAATTCATTAAAAAATACTTAATGCTTGTCTCAGTTTCTCAAATCCAGTGCTTCAGATCTGTTATGCGAGTGAGACTCACAGTTCCACTTTGTATCTTAAGGCAAAATCTGCTATTACTCATATTACAGAATAATTCCAACCAAATACTGTTACACATTATATTGTTGGGTTTCTGTGACTGATGCACTTCTCTAACCAGCTCTTCACTGATGCAGTTAGAGGTGATGGACCTAATTTTAACAAACTGTATACTGTGCCGCATTATTTCACTGCATTTATGAACCAACTGCTTCATATTGTTCTAAATACAATAATTGTCTGCACTAAAGCGCAAGTTTAAAGTAGTACAAAATGGTAACTGTGGAGTACTACATTTTAATAGATGCACTTCTTATGTAAAAGCTCAAATGAGGATTTTTCTACTGAATCCTTTTTATGTTTGTCAGTGAATATTTTTTGGTTTGGTTTGGTTTCTTGGCAAAACAAAACAAAACAAAAAAGCAAAATGAAAACTTCACATTGGTCTTTGAAAATCATTTGCAGTATTTTTCACAGGTTTCTGACATTTTAAAGACAAAAAAAAAAAACACGTAAAGGACAGATTAACTGATCATCAAAATAATTGCGAGTTGCAGATTTTTCCGGATGTATTTCACACAAAGACACACACACATGGATGCACAAGTAATGCCCACAGCACTACGCCAGAAAGGGACAGAACATATAAATAAAAACACGTGTGCGCATACACACATGTGGCACATCTCCATGTACAGTAGCTGCAGGCGGTGCTGAAGCATTCATACCACGTAAAAAATCTCTGTTTATGTTGCCCACAGTCTGTGGCTTGTTTGAGATCACATTAAACTCTCACAAACTCAAACACATGATATATAGCTGATATGTAAATATAAAAATTTACAACTCCTCGGAGCCCAGAGTGAAAACAGTGAAGAATCTATGTGTATGTAACTCTCCGTCCTGGCTCAAAACAGACTCTATCCCATCTCAGTGTGTGTTAGCGACTTGAGAACATACTGTTCTCGTACGTGTGGCCGACTGCCTCCAGTCTTCATAGCTCCCAAAACCCAGAGCTCTCCCAAACTGTCAAAGAGCCGTTTATTTTCAGTTAGAATCCAGATACATGAAGGGTACATGTACTGTACATACAGCTGTGGAATGAATCAGTATCCTTCAGCAGCCTGCCAGCCAGTCACACGCGCACACGCACACGCACACACACACACACACACACACACACACTTACCACAGAGTCGATAATGAAGCTGCATGCTACTATCTCCATGCTGTCCACAATGTTACTGATGGGTTTACACTGAGCAACCTCTGCAGTTAGCTGTGGGGAAAATGCACAAACACACATATGCACAGTGTATGTAAGAATGCTGTCAAATGTGAAAACCAGAACTTGCTGAGTATCTGTGGACTTTTCAGCTCCTGCTGGCTGATCTACTGGTCTCTCCTCGATGTTCTACATACTGACTTTAATTCAAAGCAAATGTCTGTTTACAATCAGGAAATCACTAAAGCTCCCGTAATTTACTAAAACCTACAGAACTTGTTAAACTCAGCTGAATTAAGTCTGATGACTGAATCAGTCCATTATAGCGGAAAGAGTAACGATACAGTAAAGTCCAAAATGCATTTAAACTTTTAATGTTCTCACATGGTCTCAACTGAAAACTGACATTTAAAAAGAGAAAGAAAACAAGACTCACAGAGTTTTTAACCCATTCTGTGTACTGTTTGAAGTATCCCACCAAGCTCTGTACGTAGCCTTTTGCTTCCTAGAAACCAACACAGAAAAAAGTTAGGCAATGTGACTACAGTGTGATGAGGGTTGAGGCTGTAGGATTAGGAGTGTGTCCTTTGTCTCTCAGATTACGTTTAAAATGCAATTTGTTCCAAGCACCAAAAAATGCATGAATGAAGTCAAACTGCCACTACAAGGCCCTTCATGACTCGTTAATGACATTTAGAATGAATGTGTTAACAATTACCCCAAAAAACTAATGAATAACGAGACATATTACAAGGTAAAATTCATCTTTTGTTCAGTGTGAAGCAACCAATATGGCAAGTAACACAGAACAAAACAGGACACTCCTGGCATTTCCTTTTGAAACACTCTAAACAACACACTTCATCTCACTAGTAGAGACAAACCTTCACTGAAGATATCTTTCTTTTTGTCAATGACACTGGTGTGTTAAACAAGGATTACAAACACAGTTAACCCTGGTTACCTTTAAAAACTCCACATTATCAGGTCATATGTGCACAGTTACATAAAGCTCATATGGCACCTAATTTGCTACATTGTCTTGTACCTGCTTCACCACATGGGAGGCATTATGGGTGATGAGGTACTCTGCTGCATCAATGGCGCTCAGGATATTAGTGACCTTGACCTGACAGACACAAAAATAGATTTCAATTGGAATCAGTTAAGCAGATAACTGTGTTTAGAACATGAGTGTGTTTGGCTTACTGGCAGGTCGCTGGATGTCCTCTGCAGTTTTTTGATACTCTGGCTCAGGGTACTCTGTGTGAGAGCACAGGAAAGCAAACTGTTACTAAATAAGTCAAATGCATGTGTACATGTCTGTTTGTCCATTTACAGATACTCAATTACATAACTCCACCGCTGTCACAACACGAACCACGTCGCTACGGCAAACACACACATAAAACACTGTCACAGCGCCGTGCATCGACAGCGGCTTACCCGCGCTCTGACATATTTCTGTCACCATTTTATGAAAGAAAGGGAGGAAAAAGAGGGGACATTGAAATGTTACGTCTTTAACCTATAATGACGGATCCAATGCTTTAAGTTTTGTTCTAATATAGTCATACAAAATGCATTGTTTTTTCTGAGAATTGATTGAATAAACAAAAACATGTGATTTGCATCATGTAAATAGTAGTTTTATTGGTGCATAAAATTGTTTGTGCTGTTGGGTAGCTGAGTTCCTAAAGACAAAAGTGAATTTACAGTCTGTAGCAGGAAGGTTTAACTGGAGGATAAACAGAGCCTGTATGTACTTGCTTATAGCTATGTATGAGTTATGTATGTGTTTGATTGACATTCGTGCTGTTTGTGTTGTGATTACCATTGCTTGCTCCATGGGCACCACGTGTTCCCTGTGAATGAGTCTGATACTGCTGGCGTGTCCTCTCAGTGCGTTCTCCAAAGCACCACGTGGCTGCAAAGAAACACAAAGAGTTGAGAATATGTGACTTTGTTGCAGCTGCACATTGTTTAAGTTCCTATGATAACTTAAAAGAATTGTGTAGTCTTTAGGTTCATGTGGAATAAATACTGAATCAATGACCTCATTGTTCTTTTCTGCCTCACAGGTACAAACGCACACTGATCACACTATACCAAGTGCCATGTGCCTTTAAATGGCACAGATCCTGTACCATGCATTTGCCATAAATGTGTGTGTGTGCTCGGGGTGAATGGGCCGCTTGTTCAGGCTGACGAGTCCAATCGGTGACCGTGAAGTAAAAGCATTTTCCGGAGAGGCTGTCCGACTATATATTGCGCTTGTTGGTTTTATAACTATATATGGCATTCCTACAGTCTTCAACCCATATGGCAGCAATATTGGATTACACTCACATCAGAAAGATAAGGGATCTGCAGCCTGATTTTCTAAATGATAAAAGATGTGCCGTCTTTTACAAAAGTCTCACGTTAAATTAAGAGTATGTGTAATCAAATCACCAATCTAGAGGGACAAGAAGATTCACCTGATATTAAAAGTTTCAGTGAAGTTTCTCAGTGGCTTTATTTATTCTGGAAGTCACATTTGCATAACCCAACATTGCTACTCAATTCAAGTCAGTGTTCATATGTTTCCACTGTTCTATAACATGACTGTTATCATACGTCTTTGATTTCGGCTTCTGAACAATAATAACTCTCATGTTGTAGGTGTAACTTCTTGCAACAATGATGTTGGGACTCACCAGCTGGTCGGCCTGAGCCTCCAGGTCAGTAGCGAAGGACAGCAGATCCACCAGAGTGACTCCCTTATTTACCTAAAAGAAGGAATTCATTTCTTTATAGGATAGAAGTCTTTTGGGGAAGTTCAGTCTGTATGTGGTGTATCTTTTTAAGTTTTTGACGAACTAGATAAATAGTTAACCTTACACACACATTACCTCAGCAAGATAAGCGTCATACTCGATGTGTCCAATTCCAGAGTTGGCAAAGTTGATGAGGTTGTCTCTGCCGGCCTGCTCCAGCAGTGTGATGTTCTGAAGATCCACCTTCACACCTTCAAACACTTTGGCCAAATCCCTGTTGTACTGTCATGAAACACACAAATAAACTCACAAGTTACCAGGCTGTCATTCTTATTGCTTCATCAGTGCACAATGATTCACTGGTAAGTGATACCTACCACAGTTCTGTTGAGGAAGGAGTTGATATTGAACATCGTTTCCAACTGCAGAGCGTGATACAGACCATTGTTCTCGTAACATTCCCTATGAGACAAACACCGTTTGATCACATACTAAACCTAGATGTGCTTTGCTTCAGTACAGTTGACTGTTTTCTTACAAAAATAAAAAATAGAAAGCAAGGAATTTGGTACATTTGAATACCAAGAAGCAGAAAGACAAGATTAAAGTCAGCAACACCAAAATTGGGAATATGTTTTAAGCTTCTTGGTGAAAAAGCCATTAGCTTCATGTACATGTTATGAGCATTATGTGTTGACATTTTACCTGTACATGCTGCCCAAAGTCAAGTCAATATTTGGATTCTGAAACAGCATCCCAGGAAGGAAGTTTTTCTTTTCAGGATGGACCAGGAACGGTGTGTCTATGATCTACATGCATACAAACACACACATGCATGTAATAGTATATTCATCAGCACAGAGTAGCAATGTTGTCCATTATGCAATACTATGTTAAACTCTGCAAGAGAAACTGAGGGAGAGGCAGAGAGGAGATGATTGAGCAAGGAGGAGAGTTTGTGTTCAGTACCTTGAACAGCTGCCGGTTAGCCAGAGGTTCACACATCAGTTTCTCCACGTTTCCACCGGCAACAAACATGGCAGTAACGAGGGCCATCAGCACCCAGGCAAAGATAAAGGAGAAGCCCACGCCACTGCAAGAGCAAGAGACAGAGAGAGGGTGTAACAAACAGAAACATTAGTTTTTGGCTGCCTGCTTTTTTCATCTATTACTACATGCAGCTTCATGTTGTCATTTTGTCTTAAACTTTTTCTTTATCAGTTACATTAACCTGCTATTAGGTTCCAATTTTAAGTGCAAATAAGATAAAATAATCAGATGATGCTCAAAGCAGTTTGTCTCACAGCAATGTTTCTGTTTGGTTAAGTTACTCCTAGGTGTCAGATGAGGATTTTCCACCATGAAAAAAGTCTATTATCCCGTCGGCTTTTTGAGAGTGTTGTCGTGTCAACCTACGCCATCAGCAGGTTTCCTCCGGTGTTCGACAGGCAGCCGCGGGTTGTGGGCGTAGCTTGCTTGTCATAGCCGCAGGTGCCACACAGCAGACCGAGGACGTTGAAGGCTAGGACCAGGACGACCATGCAGAGCACGGCCACACAGCCGATCCACCTGCAGCACAGACACAAAAAAACTTATATCCACTCCCTGTAAGTCTAGCCTAATTTATAATCACAACCACCACAGCTTGACATGCTGTCCAACCATATCAAAAATCAAACGCATTTACAGCTAATCAGTAAGTAATGAATAAGCAAACATAGAGTGAAATGTCAAAACCTTTACTCTTTTTACATCTGTGCACGGCTGGCAAATCACGGTGTGAAGTGTAAATGTCGGACCACGAGTTTCAAAAAGTTAAAGAAATAGTCAGACGCCACCACCTTCGAATCATACACATGAAAGGTCTGGTTGAATGGAGGTTTCCAAAGCTACCTGACAATCTGATAAGCAGTTTTCTAAGTACTAGAATTTTTAATCCAAGAAGAGTCCCTGTGTATTTGCGCTACAACACTATGAATACTGTACATGCAAACACGTGCACAAACCTGTAAAAATCCATCTGGTCAATCTGTGGGTAAAAGGACTCGATGGCCTTTTGTCTTTCACCGAGGAAGATGGTGAAATTGGCCAGAGAGGCTTCCACTGGGAACATCTTGGAGAAGCTGATGATCTCTGTGCCAATCTTATCCAGCATGCCTTTTACTCCTACAGACAGAATTTTGAAATAAAGACAGACAAATGAATGCATGTTTTAGATTAACTGTAAGGGTCGTGTTAACAAAACTGAGAAAAAAGATGAGGAGGTCTGACAGAGAACGAAAAGGGGAAAAGATGGGACTTACGAGGCAAAGCTGTGGTTTCATCAGCCACAGATATTCATGCAAAGGTGAGAGGAGAAAGAATGTGAAAGATTCTAGTTAGACCCATTTTAATCTTGCTTCAAAAGAAGAGCTGAAAGTTGTTTAGACTACACAGACACACAGACACAAACACACATTTATGTACCTGAGACAATGTTTTTAGTTTGCTCTTTAACCAGTTTTGGTGTGTCATTGAAGGATGCATAACCCTGGAGGTGAAAAGAAAAAAGAGCAGGATAAAGATGCTGGCAACAACAAAGTCATAGACAATAAGCTGGAGAGAAACACTAACCTTTTGTACAATGTTGCTGAGATCTGTTCTCAAGATGGTATTAATATTGACCAAAGCGTGACTAACATCTGGGAGCTGACAAATGGAATGAGAAGAGGAACACAGATGAGTAAACATGGTGATATTGCTCTCAAATACAAGCCTAGCCTTAATTTGTTTTCAGGCTTTGATTCTCCTTTTTAGTGCCACTTGGCTGTGTTTGTAAGACAGTGTAGAGTTTCTTATTACCTTAGAGTAGTCAGCGTTGACTCCTAGTTGGGACAGCGTGGAGCGGATGGTGTTGCAGGTAGGAGACACGGCTCCATTGGTGCAGGCGGGGTCGGACAGGGTGTTGGATAAAGAGGCGCGTTCACTTGACACACTCGCCTGAAGCTTCCCCATCCCGTCCTGCAGCACCTCCAAGGAGGAGTTAACGGTTTCCAGGGCCTCTTTGGTCTCCCTCATGGCTAGAAACAACAAAGTAAGGATAAGCACAACCAACTCAAAGATTAATCATCAATTTATTTGACAATTCCTTGACACAAATGTGTGTTTTATATTACGAAATTACTGAGCTTTACACTTTTTATACAAAAAAAAAATCACACTCATGACACTGACCACAGATCCACAACTCACAGAAGAAAACAACAAAAAACTGTCTACAAGACAAAGCGGTGCTTCAGGATGAGCATCTGTTACTAACACTCCCACCAACACAATATCACGAGCACTGCACCACTGATTCCAGATCAGCTGTTTACCTTTGATGGCACTCTCAACTTTTGCTTTAGAAAAAAAAGAAACGTGAGAGGGTCAAGGAGAAAAAAATTAATAAAAAATGGTGAGGATTTTCCCTTTGAAAGACATATCTGGATTATGTATAGATTGATAGATGATGATTGATTAGCTCTCTAAAACAAAGAAAGCTGCATGTAAGGGACAATCATTAGCAGTACGTATAGCAACAATTCACTAAATTCCTGATTAGATACTTTGTGTTGCAGTTGTGTCACATTTGATTAGTTTCAGTGCAGCAAGAACAAAGAGTGCTTGAAATGTAACTGTAACATTTCAAGTAGTGATGCATGATATTAAAATGTCTGGCCAATACTGACATCGATATTAAGATTTCTGATATCGTGGATAATCAATATTACTGATGCTGATATTCAATTTTTATTCACACTGAAAAGTAAGCACTGTGAGAACGTGACAACTACTCAAAAGAAGCCCATAGCACATTAGACCACATAGCCTTCTTTGTTACGTAACAAAAGTAAAACATATTTAAACATATTTGAACATATTTAACGTTCATGTCCAGAACCATTTAGGTAAAAACATCTGTGAAATAGCAGCAATATAAAATGTAGAGACGAAGGCGCTAATGTCAGATAATCATCGGATTTTCACATCGGCTAAATTTGTTCATCGGACCAATACCGATATATCAGAAAAAACACTAATATCGGCCGATACCGATGTGGTCGGCAATATATCGTACATCCATAATTTAAAGTTGTTTGCATTATTTTGTGTTTGAAACAGAACAATGGAGTCTTGTTTGACCTGTTTTGACATATCTGAGCATTTGTAAGTAATCCAAAGCATAAATAGTGCTACACTTGGTAACAAAAATGGCTCATCTAACAGGATCTGTCCTTGAATGGTGGGTAAGATAGTGTAATTGTCCTTCATATTGCTGTGTGATACTGTTTCTTAGCTGTGTAAGTTCAAAAGGATCATATTAAAAGAAGCACAGAGATTGAGATACCTCCTGCCATGCGCAGGGCAGTGTCCAGGGAGGGAACCACCTCTTTCTCCAGCTGACTGTGTATCCTGCCACCCAGCAAAGGTCCAATGTCTGTCAGGAAACACGGACAAGTCAGGAGGTTTCATAATAACAGCACTGTTATCAAAAGTGAGAGATATTAGACAAACATTATATGTAAACAGGGTTCAGCTTACTGTCAAGGTCTGACAGGACTTTGTTCTTCGCTGTGGTGTACTGGGCTGTCAGGTATTCAATTTGCTGCAGCAGGACACACACAGTATTATCAGACATCGGTTTTGTGTGTGTCTTTTACATGTGGACGCTTGTGAGGGTGTGTGTGTGTGTGAGAGAGAGAGAGAGAGAGAGAGAGAGAGAACATACCGCAGGCGTGTTGTTAGCAAATGTCTTCAGGTCCCTCATGTTGGTATTAATGAGTCGTCGAGTGCTCTTGATCTGGGTGCTGACATTATGATTTGCAGCATAGGCGATGAGTACTCCCAGACTGGAACACACACACACAGTCAGGATCAGCCAAGACATGAACTGTTGTGACAAACACTACCAGCAGGGGGCAGCATGGTTACACAAGGACTTGTGAGGTACAGTTGGGTTTTTCATTCACTGAAGACTCACCTGCGACGAACAAACAAGATGTTTGATACAGTTAGTGATGTGACACAACGTAAGACGTATATACTACATCAGCAAAGCTTGTATAATGAAGGAAGAAATAAAATGACGACAAGAACTATGTTGTTGACTTATAAGGGGTAAAATGTACCTGATAGATTCCTAACCTTAACATTATAAGCTCTTGAGCAAAGACTTGATTTACTGCTAGACTCTACTGTTTTTCAATATTACAGGTTGTTGAGACAACACAGAGATAAACAACGAACATGGAGGAGAAAATCTGTTTTGTAAGAGACTGTAAAAGAATGACAAAGCCTGATCAGATAATATCTCAGCATCTCCATATGGTCACAAAAGAGCTGCATGTGTGTGCGAGCACGCATGTTTGTAATGTGAAAGGACTCATTCAGACAGAGAGGCCTCTCACAGTCAGCCAAGTGATATCAGTAACACCTAACTGTCCTGCACAGTTTGGATCGTATTTCTGTGCACCTGTCTCCTCCACACGACAGGTAGTCTGCATGGACGCGCCTAGTGTCTGAATACGATTGTCCACTGATTTTACACATTAGAGTCTGTTTACAGGTTTTCAGAGGACCACTGTGTCTGTGAAATAGTTGTGTTAAGCCTATTGTGGATACAGTAATAACAATAATATGTTTTGATCTGATCTTATGAAGTCTCTTATGAACAATTCAACATTGTAGTGACATTCCCTCTCATTACAATTTAATGAGACAAAAAGTATACTCAAAGTAAAGGCAACCACGCTGGTAATAATAAAGTCTGGAAAGGGGCTGCCACTATAGCTCACCTGGTTGAGCTGATGACCCATGCACAGGGTCTATAGTCTCCAATGCAGTGGCCATGGGTTTGAATCCTGCTCATGGCCCTTTGCTGCAACCCCTTCCCCCATTCTTCTACCCCACTTTCCTGTCTCTCTTTCAACTGTCCTATCCAATAAAGGCAAAAAGGCCAAAAAACACACCTTTAAAAAAATTTTAAAATAAAAGTCTGGAGAGAAGAGGACTCACATGATGAAGACGGAGGTGGCGATGAGCGAGACGGTGTAGAAACCTCGGTGACAGTCAGCGTTTTTCCTCTGCCTCTGGTGCATCTCGCCTCCGCAGTTCTCGCAGCATCGACACACACAGAAACACGTGGCAATGATAGGGACGAGGACCACAAACACGATACCGACGGTTGTACATACGATGAATCCGGCCTCGTAGTGGATCCACTGCAGGAGAAGAGCGTTCATCCAGTCATCAGTCTACTCTTTGTACTTCACATAGTCAATTGTTGCAGCACTGTTTTGAGTATCAGTTATGAGGAGTTTACCTGTAGCAACAGGACGACGTTTTCTGGCTGAAAAGCCAAACCCAGCGTGTGTGGACATTTGCCGAAAGTTCACATGCACATCCACACAAACACACATTCACACACAATGGAATAGTAAGAAAATAAAACAAAAGGAAAATAAGGTCAGTGTGACAGTCAAAGGATTAAGAAGGAAGGAACATTTCTGTGTACAATTACTGCTTGTGAGTGTAATGATGACGAGACAAGAGCGCATTGTGATGGCTAATATCATGTGTCCTAAATAAGGTGTCTAAGTTTGAATAAAGTGACATTAGGTTTGTTAACATATACTCAATAAATGACACAATATCAGGTTTTAATATTCCTAAAATCTAATTTCTAGAAAACTTTAAAAATGTGTAATTTGTTAGACATAATCTTTCAGTGTTGTTATAAACTATGCTTTAATGGTTAAAAGCATGAATTTCATCAGGATGGTATAACAACACTGGATTCATCACCTAAATCAAACATACCTTCCTCCATTCCTCTATTTTGATTCCTCCCATGTTTTGCTGAATGACTTTAACAATGAGATCTGAAAAAAAGGAATATATTTGCATATGATTCAGTACATACATACGCATGTGTTCAAATCCGCAGTTATTATCCAGCAAAATAATAATCAGTTGTGTAACAGCGTTTTACGGGCAGATCAGTTGGACGTAAGTGATGACAAGCAACGAGTGGGAAAAATCCATTTATCTGTTCACATAGCAGACAACACAGATTATGTGGAATCATTTTTTCATTTCCGTGGACAGTATTGTGGCTGTATTTCCTCATGCATCTAACAGCTGTGCGTTTTCTGCGAGAGCTGCTTGAACTGTGTAGTTTGCCAATGAGGACTTCGGTTCAGTCCAGCTGTCTGTGTGTTTGCTGTATGTAGGTCAGCCAACACTAAGCCTACCTGCACTGTGACTCACCCTGACTGTTACTCAGCAGGTAAACACTGATTCTTACACACTTCTGTGAATACTTGCACACACACGTATACATGCTCTCACACATTAAATGTATTTATACTTGTGAGTATTTTCAGTACGTATAGAAACATAACACTCATATTGAGTTGCAAGGGAAATAAGCAACACATGGACGTGTTGAAACATATTTCAGTGCACAACAATTCCTCATATGAATATTCAGCACTTGTTGCTCGAAGCTTTTCTTTCGACATTTAATCATGTGTTTGTTGTTCGTTTGTCAGATCGCTCACATCAAACCATGAGGAGCATTAAGGTGCGAGCATGAGCAAGTGTGACAGAAAAAAAAACATGTTTCTTTAAAGAATATAAAATTGTCAGCGAATCCTCTCACATTGGTATGGTAGGTGCCAATGCACATGACAAGCAGATGGAAGCTGATTTAGATTATAAATGCTTACACAGCTGTCACACACACACACACACACACACACACACACACACACACAGACATACAAACTCAGTGTCTGGTTCAGCCTTCTGCTTGCACACCTGCTGAACCTCGGATGAGGTGACAAACAGACAAAGCTGAAACGTACAGCGATTAACTTTGTTTGTAACCTGTTGTTTTCCTTGCTTAGGTAAATTAGGCAAATTAACATAGCATTACCGACTATACTTGGTATACTAAACATTTGCTGACTATCTCTCTCAACCCACATTTCCTACAGGTATACAGCTATTTTTGCTACAGATTAATCAATTAATTGACTTGACTGTAAAATGTGACAAAACAGTGAAAAGTTCCCATTGAAATTTCATGGTAGCATCTTTAAGTCAATTTGGGAATTAGCTTACAATATCGTGTGACAGAGAAAAGTAGCAAATGTTTATATTTAGGAAGCTGAAATCAGACAATGTTTCACATTTTTAGTTAATTGGTTAGCAAATGAGCCAGCTGATTAACTAAAGACTAATCATTACAGCGCTTGTGTTCTGTTAACTCTATATTGAATACAACAAAAACAAAGGAAAAATTCCTTTAAAAACATTTAAAACACAGCTTGTGAATAGTTTTTTTTCTGTTTTTAAACTAGTTGAATGACTGGCTGCAAACCAGCCTTAATAAACCCTTCTGGTGAGTAAAAGTTACAGGAACTGTGATTTGGGGTATCTTTTGCAACCATATGGTTAATCCTCTCAACAGCATCTTCATCTCTGGGTGGGAGGTGGCTGCTTCACTTTTCTTCGATTTTTACACCTGTATGAAAACGCTAATAATATTGTCCTGTCTGGGGAAGATCTAAGACTGACACATACGGTGACGGTATCTATCTCTGTTAACTCTGCAGATGCAGCATATGAGCACATCTGAGTTGTGTCAGTGCCACCTGTTGTTGCTCAGCTACTTAGTTAGCATTAGCCACTGAGGGCAGCTAAGCTTAGACAGCTTAGTTCAGTGACCCAGTATAAGAAGTAACTACTGCAAATGAAAGGAAAAGAGGGGATAACCAGCCTTCAGAGCTAGACCCAAAAGGACGAACTGCCCAACATGAACTCCTGCGGTCACAGCAGTGGCTGAGGACAGCAACCTTTCTATTTTTATCTACACATGCAAGTTTTGCGCATGACAAAGATGACTTTTTCTTGGTTTCAGTGTCTGCTGAGAAGAGCCACTTTTAGTAAACAAACTATTTCAGCATCAGTGTAGTTACTGAGTATTTTGTATAATCAAAAGCCTTTAAAGATGTCTGATCTATTAGTTTTTTCCTTTAGTTAAAACAAGTGCACAACACAACAAACGCACAAAGGCCCATACAAGCTACTGCAAGTCACAAAATGTCAACAACAAATTGTAAAACACCATTGCTAGTAAGCTGGTGTGCTATTTAAGTCAGAACCTACAACCCTCTTACGGTGGGGTGTGAATATAGGCAAGCACAATCCTCTACACTGAGCTGCCTTGAGATTACTGGGAGGTGTGGACAGAGCCTTACACAACCCAACAACCATCTCTGCGGCTTTTTACATGAAAAGCCTCTCATCATATGAAGCATAACAACAAAAGCTCATCTCATATACTAATAACAAATGAGTTCAATGACACATCTGAATGCACAAACCCATGGACATGTTTAATCATAGAACAAAGGACTATATTAGTCAATTTCTATTCAACCAGTGTTTGCTATTGTGCTGCAGCGACACCAAAAACTGTTGAAAATGCTGAAGCTCACTGGTAAAATGCCTCTTTTTGATCAGAGGCATTTTTTAAATTAGCCATACTTCTGGTTTCGAGGTTAATCAAACTTGTAGAATGGCTGTTCAACAAGAAGAATTAAGCTTGACAGTCACTGTAGAGTTTAAATGACCAGAGTTCAAGCACAATGTTGGCCAGTGATTGTGGAGGTCACCCGAACACTCCAGCACAAAGATGTCTGGGGGAAATAAGTGACGACAGTGGAGCTAATGGTGGAACATCATTAAGCTGCTATAAATAAAACAAAACAAATTAAGTCATATTTTCAACAACATGTTTATGAGCATTTCAACCAAAGAATGTCTTTTACTTTTTACACTGTTTCCGTTTGGGACTTTTTAAGACTAAACAGCTAACACTATCCAGAACCTTAAAAGAGAAGATTTTAGGAGTTCTAACCATGGCTCTTCTTCTATCCTATTCAGTTCAATATCTCGTGTTCCCCCAGAATTACAATGCGATTCTTCCATCTTGGCCCCCACTTTGGGAACAAGCGCTTCATTAGACAGACATTGTCTTGCCTGAAAAGTTTCTTTATTAAATACTGACTTGACTAATTGAGGTTGTGTTTCTGAAATTTCAGTGTTGAGGTCTCACACTTACTGCAATTTTTGACAAAGATATAACGCTGACGGGAAGTCACGTTACGGAGTGCGCAGTTTAACGTGTTAGTATTACGACATAAGCACAGTTATGTAGCGCTTACTTAAAATACGGCTAACTGTACGGTATGTTTTACTTGGTGTTATACAACACCATAAGTGCGGTATTTCATGGCGCCAAGAGCTAAAGAAAGTTGCGGAGCCCACTGTGAGCTCGAGCAAAACAACTAAGAGGATTAAGTCTTTTTACTCTTTTGGACCGCATATATATTTAAGGACCACATGGAGACAACATGCAATAATTTCTACTGTGTGGCGTTTCATCAGCCAGTTATCTCCTCAATTATTCTATAACGCATCAATAAAAATGTGAAAACTGGCAAGCATACTGTACAGGCCAAGTTGACTTATTTCCATAGCTTGTTGATGACCAGTTGCCCAAAAATCCAAGGATATTAAGTTTATTATCCTAAGTTTAAGAACATACAATGGGAATTATTGCCATTTGTGCTTACAGTTGTGCTGCAATTAATTAACTAAATGATAATTAATCTAATATCGAAATGGTTTCCCTTCAATTTCCCTCCTAAATCCCTTCACTCGACTAAGGGACACCCAGAGTATGAGCTGCCATCTTAAGTAAAAAACTGTAAAAGATCCTTTCTTGAAAGCACAAGATGAAGATGTCTGCAGTGTAAGATGAAGAAATGCGAGTTTTAGAGTAATTCTAACCTTCTCTTGAATATTCTATCGAACTTGTACGGGTTTCTTTTAAGTGTGATCCAGTACAAGACACTTTCTGATAAACAACCTGTCCGCCACCAATCACAGTAATTAAGAGAATCAGACAAACGGCAGGACTATGACCCACTTTCAGCATGTGCGTGTGTGTGCACCAGTGCATGAGTTTGCACACTCAAGTATGTGTTTGACTATGCCATCTGTAGCAGTGGTAGCAGGACCGTGTTAGCATTAGCCCTGTGGATGCTAATCCTCTAATCCACCCTGTGTGTATCAGAGGGATAAGACACCGCATCCTCGCTCAGTGAAAGAGCCCAAAATGCTTGTTCACCGAAAAAGCAACCTTCGCGCAGATTTGTAAGAAGGGATGAGTGAGTCGCAAAGACAGGCCGGTGTCGGTCAAGAACAGGGTGATGACTTTTTCAACAGCAGCTCTCAAGCAAGCGTCTCTCTGGCAACCTGAGAAATTAACTACATAAATAAAAGAACAGGGATTTGTGGGGATTTTGACACACACGGCACAGTTTATGTCACATTATTTAATTATTCATTCTGATTGAACAACCTTAGGAACACGTTTTCTGACACAGCCTGTATATCAGCCATTTTTTCTTGGCTTTTCTTAGCTTAACCTTAACTCTGACAGTCTGAACCTAAACCTGCCACCTTTGCAACAACCAACTATGACCTCACCCAAGCTCAAAGCCAAACATGAAGAGCAGCGCTGCCGGAAACTCTTGATGGTAAAACAGAATTAAGTGCAAGACCAGAATCAATCTAATACACTGTAGGACTAAGAAATTCCCATTTTTTGGTGCACTTCAAGGACACAAGATTCTGTGTCTATGCGTAGTCTCATTCTGACATGAATGAGACTATGAAAAAAAGACCCTTGTATAACTTTGAACTGCTACTTATTTGATGAGCAAATTGTGATTATAGACGCTGCAGTGTTCAAACTTCATACTTGCTCTGTAACCTTATTGTACAGTTTTACAGAGATGTTAATCATAGTGATGCAACAACACTTTTCTCTTGTCTATCAGTTTGCCACATTAGGCTGTCACAGTAAATCACAATATATAAGTATTTTGTCTACACAGGGCAGTATTTTGCGAAATTTTAAAAGGACTATATACTTTCTAGCAGAAACAACTACATAATTACATACGTTCATGTGTTTCATTTCAGCCCACAGGAGTGTTTTTTATATCTTTATGTTTTTATATATATTGTATGTAGTTGCGGTCACATAAGTTATGTTTTTCTGTCTGTCACACCTCAAGCAACACAACAATGTGTTTTGTTGAACTGTACTTTTTCATCCTGAGCAACAGGGATTTTGTTTTTACTCTTTCATTTTTACACTTCCTTCTTCTAGGAGCATCAGCCTGTAAACAGACCAACAGAAGCAAGTGAAACAGCATCCAAGAAATGACTGTTGGTCCATAATTCATCTGAATGATTTATCTGTGCTTGTGCAACATCCCAGTGAAAACCTAGTTTGAATCAAATGCTGCCTATTTTGACATTTATCAGGATCCTACCAAGATTATGTTTTCATTAGACTACTCTAGTTTTACCGGGGAGCAAGTTAATACAATAACACCACTTTCATACTGTAGTTTGAAGATGTGTTTGAAAACAAACAGTTGCCTTATAAACTAGATTTGAGTGAAATGTTTGTCTGTTAAATATAATTAAAGTGCCTTCTATACAATGAAAAAGAAAGATCACAAAATGCGCCATTAAATATAAAAACAGTATTACTATATTTTCCAACACTATTATGATCAACAAGCTTAAAACTATTTTGGCTTTTGAAATAAATACTGATTTGACTATTTAAGGGCTTTGGAGTAACATGAATATATTCTTACATTCACTAAAATGTACAGGTAATCTTTTGCATTCAAAGATGAAGTGTCCTATAAGGATGTTGCTTGTTGGTTTGTACATAAACACTGATTACTAATTAATTAATAGCTTCACTTCACCTGTACTCTATTGCTGCCACTTGAAAATGGTCCCATTGACCGGTCACTGGCTCAGAGGACCTGGCACTTTAGGTGGCAACATGGCCAGATTAACCTGCCAAACACCTTAAGCAGTTATAAACTGGAATAACTGATTTCCAGAGTCCAAAAGGTGACTGGAACACACTGTTTAATTCACAGCCCTTTATGGTAGAAACAGAGTAATGTATCAACACTACTGTGTCTTCATCAGATTATAATAACTCACTTTGAGGTGTCTGTTTGATGTGCGTGAGCAACATGCACGGTTTTGCATATATATGGCGTACGGTGTGGGAGAGAGTGACGAGACATCCAGGTGGTCTCTACCTGTGCGTGCTGGTGACAGGGAGTCATACTGGAAAGTCCCTGGCACTAGCAGCATATGGTCCAGTGGATTAAGGTATTATGCAGTGATGCAGGTGACTGAGAAAGCCTCTTCTAATCGCTGATCTGCTAATTGATTAGCCAGCCAGCGGCTCTAACCCTGAACACTAAAATGGCAGCAACTTAAAACCTTCAATCCTATTGCACTGTGTCATCCTCCAACGTGACCACTCATAGTGTGGTTGTATGTTGTATGTACATACAACATACAAACAAACCGCCTTAAAGGGCCGTAGCACTCAACGCCAATCACTGGGTTACTGGTATACACTGTGGGAACAAGAGAGCAACATTCCTATATATATTGATCATGTGACAGACCTGATCCCCTATTAATCACCTCAATGCTACAGCATGGGCACACAGAAGATCACGTATGATCTATGACAGCCAGTGATCCCATTAATCTGCTCATAACTTTGGTTTATGGGCTCAGCAAGCACACGCCATCACTGCATGCCATCCCTCCACACTGGCGCTCTTTTGTACTGTTGTATTTTAAATAATAACAGTCATTTTGTTTAATTAAACAGTGAAGATATGACACAAATTTACTGCTCAAAGAGGGAACACTGATGCAGCAGCACTGTGCAAATAATTACTGCCACAGCGGTTTCTTTGAGGTTTTGAGCATTTTTTGGACTTTGCTGTTTAGTTTATGACGCATAACTGGGCTGGTAAATTCTGTTACGCTAAAGAGTCGGCTAGGCCTGTGGTTTCTGAGGTTTGTGACCCCTGAAGTCAGAGTAAAGTCTACTTGTGACCCCTTAAGCACAGGTCATGGCGTAAAGAAAAGAAAAAGAGTTCATTGTTCCTACAAAGACTGTCTTATTTGAGGAATTTTTAAAGACTTGTAGATATAAAAAAACATCCTGTATTTCGGAGGAAAAAAACTAAAATCAGATAAAAGTAAGAAAATAGTTGTTTTTGTTGAATAAACAAACAATTTGTCTTTCTCATCACTTCATATCATTTCTTGTTCTTCTCATTGAGCAGTCTAATAATGTTGTTAGCTTGGGACCCTTTGCATGGGTCTTAGCAGAGGTTAGGTAAGATCGAGCCTTAGCTTTAGGTGCATGATTGATGGTTTAACCAACTACTGTGATGTGTGGCACTAATGCTTCACAGACAGACTTTTACGCTACAGGCAACCAGCTTCCACTGTCACAGATGACAAAAAATGACATAGAATCACTGTCACACCTCAGCTCAATCCACTGGTATTAACTGTTTTCATCACAGCCAATGTCCATGTACTATAATGTAATATTTATGATGTGGCTTAGTGTTTTGTTTTGTTTTTTTGCTTTTGATTGTCGTTACATTAAATACTCAGTGAGCTATTGAATTGCCCCGAGGGGATAAATAAAGTTATTTGAATTTGAAATGTGATTTAGCTCCTACTTGCAGTGTAATGTACCCCCACATTTGAATACAGTACATATACATTTCCATTCATACTCTTCAATTCAATACTTGTAACTTCTAACATTTGTAAAGTAATACTGTAACTGTGTTGCACCTTTAAGACTTTTACATTCTTATAATTCATAACCAGTAGAATGTCCTCATTTATACTTCTCTTTTTCCGCATATGCACAATCTAGTTTTATTGTAGCATTTATTTCAGCATGCATATATATATATACATACACACACACACACATATAGTATATACTGTACTATACTGAATAATGTATACATTTATTTTACTGTGTATATAGAACAGCTGTGGCACAAAACCTTTTCACAGGATTGATCTAGGTTTCTCATTAGCATACCAATATGTTATTTGTGGCCCTGTCCAACTTCTTTGGGGGTCACAATTTGGTTAAAATAGAAGCCAAAACACAGTATGTGGTCAGAACAAAAACATTTGCAGAGGTAATTAAGCTTTTAAATCTGATAATTAAATGTGATGGGTCGTCACCAAATAGGATGTAACACCTGTTGGCTGCATGTACATATGGCGGCATGCAGTTCAACTAAAATAACGTGGATTTTAATAGGACTTTTTGTGTTGTGTTTATCCATATTCAATAGAAATACACGGTGAGATCCTGGGAACAAGAAGGAACCAGAGCAGAGGATGGAGAGAGCAGAGGGGGGTGACGATAACAGTCTCACCTTTGGGGAAGGAGTTTGGTTGCACAACGTAGAGAAACGCGTGGACCATGTGGAACAGGATCCCCACGCTCCCCGGCTCGTAGTAGGCGTGGGTGTCATAAACCGCCGAGGGTACAAACCCAAAATCCAGCGGCTCCACCGGCGGAGGGGAGCGCTGCCTGCGGGAGTCCGCACGGACACCAGCCGGTGCCTGGTCCGTCTCATCCGCCTGCTGCTCGCCACTTGTGGCCCCCCAGCAGAGCAGCAGGACGAGCCACCGCGTCCACAACATGGCTCGGAAAAGTCTAAAAACAACAGCAGAACAAGTAGAAAAGAAAACTAGCTAGCAGCCCCGGGTTTAGCTGCTACAGTCCAGCGGGGGGCGGAGGGGGGAGGACGGATGACACCTGTCCGTGTCTCGGCGGTTTATCCCCGCGGCTCGCTGACAAACGTCCGACGGAGAAACTTCACAGCATCCGGCGGCCGTTAGCTCCTGGTTTCTCGGTGCGGACTCATCACTGACATCTTCCCGGAGCTCTTCGTCGACTCAGCGGACCAACGACCGAGGATGTGCTCGCGCTCCCGGTGCCCCCGCTCTCACCGGACGCTAATCTCGCGTGCACGACAGAGGCTCAAGTGGGCTCGTGCACGCTGAAAGCTCGCCAGGCGCATTTGCGGCGCGCGACACCGCGCTGGCCAACCACCTGTCCACCTCCTGGCCCGGCAGGTGAACCCGTCCGCAGGTGCCAGAGCACAGGTTTACCCGGGTTAACCCAGCAGACCCGTCCAAGCAGGGCAAGCACAGGTGGCACTAATAACGTTTATAATGGCTCTAACTCGCTGCCGTGGCCACTCTATGTCCTTATTCACACCTGTGCTGTGTCTGCTTGGACGAGTCAACATGTCTGCACCAAGAATACTTAATTAAGGAAACAGACCCCATCCCACTTACACTGTAAAAAAGGCAAAGAATTGACTGGTTTGTTGTTTTTATAAAGTTTCACAGAGGTGCTTAAAGACAAAAATGCCTGTCAAAACTAATGCCATTAAAAATGTATGTGAAGGGCCTGCTAATCCAGCCCAGTGACATTTTGGCAAACACAGAAGGTTCAAGTTCAAACAAGGGAAAACCCAAAGTTTAGTTAAAAAGTAACAGTATAGTCTGGTTAAGTTGTGCAAGTCCCAAAAAACTGCTTTGAAGTCTGATTTGTCAGCAATCCCTCTCATTCACATGGCACTTTACATGATACACAATACTACAGTGCTATATCAAACATAATCAGGACCGTTATGTATCCAGAACCAGGTTATCTATCAGAGCTGAACCTCCAGAAAAAAGCCCCCCCTTTGTGAGAATGTGTGTGATGACAGACACCCCTCCGAATGTCCGTTCAAGGGGAACAGTGGGCTGCAGTGTTTTCCCAGTTAACAGAGACGGCAGTGACTCCTTTCACTGAAAACACACGCCACTGTTCCCGTACTTTCTCACACACACACACACACACGCACACACACAGGCATTCAAATCACACCAGCGAGCATTACAAAACAAAGTCTTGATTTATTCTCCTACCATGTAAGGAGATGCATTACACAGATGGGTTGTACATGAAAAATAAAAAACAAAATATTTGATTTGTACATATACTATGTCTTTAGGTAGTGAGATCCATACATACACTGCGTATAACCTCACATACACATACACACACACACACACACACACACACAAGGTCATGAGGCATTCACACTCTTCATCCTTCTTTCACAAGTATGCAGTTTTGTATTTCACTGTACTGACTGTGTTCCTACAACGAGGCTGCACTTGGCCCCTGGTTGTGCCTCTCATGTATTAATCTTACATTTAAATCTGCATTTTTTTTTCAGATAGCAAATGCCTGGTGATTTATTTTTTATTTTGGATGGAAAAATGCTTTGTTCATTGCATAATAAAAAATCTGCATGCTGTGTGTTACTATAGCACGGCTTTATGGTTTCAAAGAACTATAAAGCCCAACGTGAAACTCTTATTCCTTTCCAAGTAACCAAAATGAGTTTAATCTAAACTGTTTTCATTCACACAAAAAATATAAATGAGTTATTTTGCATGAAAAATACTTAACATGATATAAAGTAATAGCAGTATAGATAAATACTGTATATCGTGTAATAAAACTTACATTTTGGTTCACAGTGGCCACATTGAATGAAGGCCATGTGCTATTTTTTGGCTCAGGATTAAGAAATAATGTTAACACATGAGAGGACAAACCTAGGGCAAAGTTAGACTCCACATGTTAATTGATTAAACATCATCTTTCACAGCAATTAAGACCAACGGATACACAGACACCTACTGTAGCAAGACCTTCTTTCAATAATCAAAAGCCAGCAGCCAACAACAATAAACGTCAGCATTTTCACAAAGCAAATCTTAATTTTCCATTTGAACAGCTCTATTGCAAAAGAAATCTGCTGGGTTCACTGTTTTATGTGGTTATAGTGCAGTTATGACCCCACCTCTTAAGCTTTTCTTTTTGAGAGGTGGCTCATTCTTGCAGCTTTGCCCAAGCACCCAGTGAACTTGAAGTAAGTTTACCTGCCTCTATGAAATTTTTTCTGTGATTTTTTCATACCACTCACACTCTGAATAGTGAGAACTTGGAAAATGTGTTTATGTTGATGCACACACCATGAATATAAAGGTCAGTTCACAGTTTCCAACATTAAAAAGCCAACATGATAAAATGCTATACGCCTGTGTTGTTGTCATGACTATCTGTAGGCTACATGCTTGAATGATAAATGTAGAAAATAAGCATATCGAAAAGAAAACCAGTTGAAAATGAAATACTCCCCAACTCTGTCTGGCTTGGGAGATCATCTCAAAATAAATACTAGCGCCTTGACTTCTCAGTGCTTCAAACTAACAATATCAACACAAATGGCATTATGCTAAGACCTCCAAGCTTTTATCTGTGTCTAAAAGGTAAAGTCGCCAAACTGAAGATGCTGCACTCATGCAAAACCATTCCTCGTGTCACTACTGCCATGTTTAACGTGTTGGACTGCACCTGACCTCATTACTGTAGTTCAATTGAAACAGGATCTCCTTAAATGCTTGTTGGTGGTTGAGTCTACACAACGACTTTGAGATGTTCATGTTTTTGTGAGTCATCGTCCTGCAGCTGAACACGGTCGATTTAGAAAAACGGTCAAAGATTCGTCATAAAAACTCCATTTCAAACATTAGAATTTATCAGACTTTTCAAATTAAAAAAATGTAAAAATTGACAAGTTTTGTTCTTTCGAAAAACTCTTCGCTGTACATATGATTGTGCTTTTGAACACACCTGCACAGTCCAGCTGTAATGTTCCTATGATCACACACAATTTGACATATGCACTTTTGTTCCTCTCTTTGCCGTCTGCCCCGCCCTCGCTTTCCCCGTCGTCTTCTTCAGCGAGCACGTTGCCATGGCTACCGTGACCCAGTGCCAGGGGATCATTGGACACCTACAGGACCAGCTGGAAATGTCTGAAGCGACCTCCGATGCTTGTAGTAACAGCTTTATGCCTTGGCTGGTTTTGTCAGTAATAAATAAATAAATATTCGAGGGGTCAGGCGCACAAGAATAAGTCAGGTCTGAGCATGCTCCGTGACCCGTGTCTGATCCCTGAACCATGCTGTGTTGCCAGGACACTGCACTGACTGGTTGTTCCTATGGCGTTCAGTCTATTCGGTTGCCACAGATAGTGAAGCGGTCTATCTCCAGCAAGTCTTTCTTGGGTGTTCTGTGTTTGAGTCCATCTTCTTCCAGTCCTGTGTCAGCGTTGATGATTTTGTCATCGTCCTCCTCGTCCGGCGTCGTCAGGAATGTGTCCGAGTCGCTCTTGGGTAGTGTGGGGGCAGAGCTCTCCGCCATGTTGGTGGGCTGAGAAATGTCTGATGCCAGGGATATACCTCCTTTGTCAGCTGCGGGTTCTGTTGGAGAGAGTTTATCAGCAGAGAAAACATACAATAACAATTCCATTAAGTAATGTCTTAACAGATATAGTGAGAGAGACCGATGCAGCTACCTTGCTGTGCTGAAGTGTGAACATGTTTGGTCCGATGAGCTCTGGAGTTTGCACGGCTGGAGACGACAGAGGGTGGAGGGTCGAAGAGCTTTTCTTCCATGTTGGCCTCTTTGACGAACACGCAAGATCTTCCCAGCAGAACGATACTGTTGAGCACCTTCAGCGTGATCATCCTACACACAAAGACACAGCCAAAACATGTGGATATAACTGACACTTTTTACCTAAAACTGTGAAAACAAATACAAACATTAGGAAACACAGAACTACAAATGCTGCAAACATAATGTGTAATAATTACCCCAAGTAAAACAGCAGCACACACATAAAGGAGAGTGAACCCTGGATCTTCACTGAGCTGGTTACTACTCTGATGAGCTGAAAAAAGAAATGCAAACAAAATCTCAGATTTCTACTGTATACAGATCAAACATCAGAACATACATCATTTAAATGTTTTCGGTAAGAATGACTGACCAGCAGAGCTAATGGAAGAGGAATGAAGCCCATTCTTCTGGATACTGAGTCACTGTAGTCTGTGTAAGCCTGAGAACAAATTGAACAAAATATCATCTAAATGCACAAACAAGCAGCGTTGTTCTAATTATCAACTAATGCATTACTCTTTGCACAATGTTTTTAAACAAAATTATCAGGCAGCATGACTCCACATGCAAAACCATTGTACAAACTTGTCTTTGTCTCGCATTCATTGACAAAATTATCATCCTATGACTTGAACAAAAACAACATTTACAGATTACAAAATGATGTAATCGAAAAACAAAATTTGATAGATTTTATGACCAATATGATTATGAGAAGTGTCAGACAATATAAATGTGTCTACTGTCAAAGATTTTACCCCATTATTTACGCCTTTATAAACTCTGGGTGTATATGGCCATTGTAAGTAAAGCTCTAGGATTAAACAAAAACAAACACTCCACTCTGTTTTTTCATCTTTCAACTACAGAAGCTGACCGTTTAAGGCAGTTTCCGAAACACATGCAGTGTTTTGTCCATTTACTTCTATTTTCTTAAGCCACCTGAACAAAGTAATTCCCAGAAAAATGACTATATGATTATTAAATGACGCTCAGCAAGGAAATGCTGGAAGGCTTGGGGAGAGCTCAGAGAGAGTCCTTGAGTGGCCAAGCCCCAGCCCTGACTTAAACCCAATCAAACATCTCTGAAAAGACCTGAAAATGGCACTCAGCCAACAGTCCCCAGCCAACCTAACCTGCAGAGAGCAATGGCAGAAAATCCCCAGATCCAGATATGCAAAGCTTGTCATGTCATATCCAGCAAGACTCGAAGCTGTAATCACTGCCAAAGGTGCTTTAACTAAGTACTGAGTAAAGGGTGTGAATACTTCTATCAACGTGATGTTTCAGTGGTTCATACAAGATTACATTTTTGCTTTGTCATTATGAAATGCTAAGTGTTGATAGATGAAAGGGGAAATTAATTTAGGAGATATTAGCACAAGGCTGCAACATAACCAAAAGTGAAAGCACTGATGGGGTTTGAAAACTTTCTGAAAGCACTGTAATTTAATTTTGGTACTAAAGTTTGCCAAGATTTTGCACAACAGTTTGGTGGAGAGACAGCGGATATTTGAACCTCTTTCACTTACATTTTTCTGTCGACTGCTGACAAGGTCAAAGGCAAGGCTGGCTCTGTATTCCCCGTAGACCTGAAAATAACACAGTGTAACAACATTTATCAGCCAAATCATTGTCATATCAAACACACATACAGAGTATCTGTGTCATAATGACTATAAAATACTAACTTATTTATTTGAACTCTCTTAAGTAGTTTATCTGCTTGTTATTTACTGTTGTGCAATAATGTAAAGTCAAGGTACGGTAGGGGCAGTGACAGGAGATGGGCCAAAAAAGAAAGAAAAAAAAAGCTAATGTAAAAACACTGCACTCATGGACTAAATGTGGACCAGCATGGATTCACAAGTGCTTGACCACTAACAACATGAGGGAGGTTGGTGTGATTTGGTTTGACAGTTTGGAGATCAAGGGGTTAATCCCTTCCTGGGGGGTTGGTTTCTGTTACATAACCTTAGTTACAACTCCTTGAAGAAAATCGAAGAGGAAAACACACAATTCGAGAAGAATTTTGGCAAGAAATTTGGCGGTGTGCATGGCCGCAGTGGCCCCTTCAGGAGACAGCGAGAGTGAACATTTAGTGTCGTATCCCAGACATGCATTCTGCAAAACTTGCTGGTTGAATAATTCTGAAGAAACGCTCTTTCATCTTGCCTGTAGTACTGTGTATGTACAGCAAAATGTCAATAAACCTGATTTGATTGATTTTATTTGAAAGTGTGAAACCAGTATGGTCAGGATAACATGGCTCAGCTGACTGACAGTCTCTCTGGCACAACAGTGGACAGTATATCTAGTGTGAGTGGGTGGGTGTATGAGGCAGTGTAAAAAAAGAGGAAGAAGCAGAGCAGAAATAATCACTAATTTGTAAAACACAAAATGTTTGTTGTTTTGATGGAGTAAAACAGAATGTCAAAGAGACACAAGAAAGTGCTTCAAGTCTGTTAAGCTTGAAGGTTCACTGTTGAAGATAATCTTGACTCAAGGTCCACTTACAAGATTTTTCTTGACCTTTCAACTGCACCTCACAGCCTTTGTGATGGATGTAGTTAGTACAGTGTCAAATAAGGACATTGTCAACAGATGTACAGTATTATTAGCGATACCTAATGATGGACTGCATTTAGATTTGACTAAAAAAAAAAAACACTAAAAGATTGAAAGCACTTTGTTCCTGGACTAGGACAGTCCTGAGCCATGTTTAATTGCATCAGTGTCTGCTGAAATAAAGCAGATCAAATCCAAACAGTTCTTAAGTGTACTCTCTTGCTTGTTGTCCACCTTGGCCTGCAGGTGTTGCTGCACACCTCTTGTAATTACCTCAGCAATACTCTGTAATGTGAACATTTTTCTACTTATACAAGTCAAATCTGTGTGTGAGTGTTAAATAATACTTTGCTGAACCAGTGATTGACTCTGTTCTAACACATGTGTTGTCAAAATACACAATTTCTTGAAAGGAGTTGAACTGTAGATACTGCAGTTAAGTATTTTATCCCTACCTTCATCAGGCATTGTTATGAGGTAAAAGAAGCATCACTCTGTAGATCTACAATCAGAGTGATCTGCAGACCCAACAACTTCAATAAAGTAATACACTGTCTATCTAACTGAAGATCAGTTTCAGCATTCAGATTGTGAAAAATAAACTGCTAGAATTTAGAAGGCTACACGTCCTATTTAAGTTTGTCACATACGTATTTATACAGTTTTTAAGTATAGCAGCAGGTTATTAAAGGACTCAGGCAAATCAGAACTCACAGACATGATACGCATATTTTTATACTCTATGTGATCTGCACTTGCCAAGATGTCCTTCGCAAATAGATCAGCTAAATATAAGCTTAGGAAAAAGAGGCTGCCTACACTTTCTAGTTTCACCTAAGAATTGCAATCTAGTGACAAATGTCTGTTTATTGATGAATTCATTGCAGCATCCAATTTGCAAAAATGTAAACAAATATGGGCTAAAATAACAGAGCTCAAGTTGTAGCAAGTCACAGCAAGTCACAGCATATCTCACTGAATCCATTCTACTTCCTACTTTCATCCAAAGGGCAAAAGCAAAATGTAAGAGTGGTATTATAGGAAAAAAAAAAATAAACTACTAAAAACCAGACAAAGGAGCTTAATAACTCATTTGACTCTTTGACAGATGAAACTGGTTCAAAGCATTGTAAAAACTACCAGTGGACCTGGAATTAGATTACTTTGTCAAATTGATTTGTGGATGTGTGTGTTATTCCCTTGTTGCCGCACTTCAACATTCACAGGAGGACATCCAAATAAACTAACTGTGAAAGTGAACATGAAGGACTCACATCAGCGCTGATGTCATTGAATTTGGTGATGAAGGCATGCTTGACAACATCCACGGCAATCTCTGAGGCCATCACCATGAGCACATCAGGAAACAACACCCAGAAGTGGTCTAAAAACAAACATCAAAAACTAATCAGCACAATTACTTATAAAGTTAGTTATAAAAAAAAAAAAAAAAGAGTGAGTCAGAGGAAACCAAATGTTCAGCGATGCTGAAAAGTCCTGAAGATGGACCATTGAGGTGTACTGTAATATACACATTAATATACACCAACAACATTAAAAGCATTAACAGGTGAAGGAAATAACAAGAAATATCTTGTTGCAAAGGCACCTGACAAGGTGAGCAGGAAGCAGGAGAACAGGCAAGCATAAGGATCAGAGGGACTATGACAAAGGCGACATTGTAAAGGCTAGATGACTGGGTTAAACATTCCCCTAAGGTCTTGAGGGGTGTTACGAGTGCTAACAAAGGACAACTAGTGAAAATCAAAAGTCATGGGCACCTACAGCTCACTGATGTGTGTGGAGTGTACAGGCTGACCTGCGTCATCTCAATCCAAAGTAGAGCTACTGTGGCACAAACTGCTGAAGATCTTAATTATCTATAATAGATGTTTGGTGCCTGATACCACAAGACACATTTAGAGGTCTTGTGGAGTTCATGCCCCCAAAAAACTGAACTGTTTTCAAAGCACAAGGGGGAGCTGTTAGGCAGCTAGTTTAAATGTTGTGGCAGGTCAGTGTATGGCCACTACATGCCACTGCTGCACTGCTTTCAGTCATGTCACATTCTTTGCACAACACAACATTAGTTACCAGGGTTCCATGAAAATTGCTCCATGTTTCTCAGACAGACGATGAGCAGGAGGATGTAGTTGGTGAACCTCTCTTTTATGTCTGTGGGAAACAAACAAATCAATCCAGGATTAACCTACTTTGCGCTCACTGCTGCTGAGCTCGATTCCAGAAATTTACCTTGCACTAAATCATCAAGTTAAAAGGCAGAGGTACAAAATGTCAAACAAATTTTAAATTCTGTCAAATGTATCGAGCTGCTTGTCATATCAATCACCACTTACCGCTATTTGACATCTGGAAAAGGTTGTTCTTTTCAAACTTCTTGAACACGCTTCCTTTGATCTCCACAAACTAGAGAAAAAAGTACCATGATCAAAGTAATCCTGCTGCATTCACTTTAATTGAGTTAGCACATCTGTATGTGGGTGCCCTATACTTACATTGTTTGACATCATGATGGTGAGAAGGGACTTGTTGTGGGAGTTGAAGGCTACATTGAGAGTTGTGGCCTGAACCATGATGAGGATGGCATGAAGAACTAGATAAAAAGTTGTTAAGGAAAAAAATACTAGGAGGACAACAGTGGAAAAACATTCTGCTGTGTATTAATTCCAATGTACGCTTATTAAAATTATCTATGAGCTCTGATTAAAGCTGTGGTGGGTTGCACCAAACAATATTTATTACTGAATAAAATGGTGAAAAATCACCATCAAAATTAGTTAATCTTTGACATCGTGAAATAACTTGTTTTGTCTGACCAAGAACTCATATAAAACACTGACTACAAATACTGATTACACCTTCCAAGCATTCTTGGATGAAAGACATGACAAAAAAAAAACAGATGTCAAGGATCATCTGCTTGTGTTAAGAAAGCAGATTTCATAAAATTCACATATACTGACAAATAAACCTTTCCTGCCATTTCCCATTACTTATTTTTATGTAATGTGCTTTGTTATGTCACCTTTGTAACCTATATAAGGGAATATGAATATGTATACATAGAAATATATACAAACACAGATTTTGGTAACTGACTTTTCTTTTCCTATCTGTGACCTGTGATCTGTGTGTTTTCCATTTTTCTTTCTTTGTGGCATTGTCCTTCCTTTGGTTTTTGATATGTCCATTTTCAATATCAATTTAAAATCTTAATTTAATCCTGCAATGGCCCTTGTTTTCAATCAAATTCAGAAGAACATTTACCTTAATGATTTGCCGATTCCTAACATTGTCAGAGATAGCTGACTAAACAACTAGCTGTCTTTAAAAGCTGTTATTTTCTATATTCTGTACTCTTTTTTTGAGTTAGCTCATGTGGAGATATGCAAACTGGCCACAACAATCACAGGTCAGTCTCCATTTGAGGATACAGACGTAGAGTACAGCCATTAAGAAGTGAGGAATCACGCCTATGTGTGCTCTCTTCTTCTCCTTGGGCTCTGTGGCTGTCCAGTAAAGAGCGTCCAAGATGTCTTGGCCAAATGATGAGAAAAGGCGGTCTGCCACCTGAAACCACAGGAAAAGCAGGTTGACAAGCGGGCAAGATAGTGAATGAGTTGGTGGCTGCCAGTACAGTGTCATCAGTTAATTATTCAATCAGGTAAAAAGACTAGGAAGTATCATGTGGGTGTACCTCTAACATGTTGTAGATGATGTAGAGTTTGATGACAGACTGCCCCCTGATGAGGTGGTACATCATGGAGTAATCCACGTAGCTCATCATTGAGTAACAGAGCACCATAATGAAGCCTTTCAGCACATCGCACACCTGGGCTGGCTGGAGCAAGCGGGAGCCACTACATCACACATGCAAATTACACATCAAGAAAATGTTCACAGAAAGAGATCACTAGAGGAGAAAGAACAGAATGCAGGTTATTTGCAAATGTTGCTTAGTCTGAACAAAGTCAAACAGAGCTCTGCTGCCCTCCAGTGGTTAAGAACAAGGTTGCAGAGTTTTCACATTTGAACCTACCACTAAAGATATTTGTATACATTTTTGATCATGTCTACCTACAGGTGGATTCGAGTGAAATCAGACCTCATGGGTTTTACATACTCAGTCCATTTAGTCCAGATCTGATAATAAAAATATCTTCTCTCATTCTCAGGCGTCAACAGGCACCACCACAACCCTGATGTCGTTTCAGGGTGTAACAAAAAATCTCAATATTTTTTCAGCAGAACTCTCGTATTATGTTTGACCCTGTTGAGATCCACTGTAGCTAGCAAATTTTCTCCCAATTCTCAACAGTAATCAGTACATTTACTTTTCTCTCCCCCTTCCTCTTTTTCCATTTTGTGTTGTCTTGTTTTGAGAGTAAGACATTTTCCCTTAATAAACAACTTAAGAGATCGCTCCTCAATCGAATATCAACAGTGTTAATTAATTTTCTCTTAATCAACAATAGATTGATCACTGAATCAGTTCAACACCAGCTTGTACAGATGCTCTTACACTTTCCTTCACAGATAAAACATTCAGTTGATTTACAGAAAATGATTCTTCTTTATTGATCATTCTCATAACCATCAAATCATTCGATGTTGAGGATTTGGTGCTTTTCCTCGTCAAACATAGAAAACTAAATATCTTTGTACTGTCAGTCAGACAAAACCAGCAACCCCAGAACATGACCCTAGGCTCTAGAAAATTGTGATGGGCTTTTTTCCCCCCTATTTACTCTTTTATGAACGGACCAGTTCATGAAAATATTAACTGATGATGAAAATAATTGTTATTTGCAGCCCTAACCTCCCTTTATCACTTCACACTGCACAGAGGATGGATAATTTATCTGGAACATTTGGACACCATACAACCTACAATAATGCAATCTAATGCAATATCTGCACTAAATATAGCCTTTTATAACTCCAACAAAATCAGAGTTTAGCTCAAACTGTATGAGTGGTGTGGATTCAAATCTACAAGGATTTTTGTGGTTTACATAAAACTTGTATTGAGAAGGAGCTTTTAATTATTATTTAAATATTGCTGATTAATGGCACTTTTAAAAAAATACGCATCAGTTATACCGAAGCAAATATGTTACCTGAGGCCACAGCATGGCACTGTGAAGAGTCGTAAAAGGGCCAGAATCACCCTGAGGGGTAGCAGGGTGAACACATAGAGAAAGGCATCCAGACAGAGGAAGAAGCCAAATGTCATCAACTAAAGAGAAGCGATGAGAGAAAGACAGGGAGCAGAAAAATATATGTAATAATTTATTTGTGACAATTATCAAATTTCTCTGAACGAAATGTTTTGAGTGTTTACCTTCTCCAGCTCCTTGGGGATGCGGAGGCAGGTGTAGACCCTCTCTCTGCGCTCTGTGTATTTGGCCTCATTGTGTTCTAGGAAGTAGCCTCTGGTGAGCTCAGTAGTTATGAATCTGACCAGAGACAAGTCTAGAGATTTGCATAGACAGAAGAAAAACATTGAAAAGTTAGAAAGTGACATTACAAACTAAACAAATCCCTCTTTATGCTTTCGATGGAGCTTGTCACCATTACCTGGCTAGATTAAGGGAACTTTATCATGAAACCATATCTCTCTAATGCCTTAATTTAGAGATTGCCAGTAGCTGCTTGGTTAAGCATTTCCCCTGCAAACTACAAACTAGACTCCCTGATTTATAAGCCATGTAATGTAAAATCAACATTCATATCAACATTGTATTTAAAGTTCAATGAGATAAGAATTAGCCAAAAAAACAGTAAGAAATCAGCTGCTACAACAGCTTCTAATCCTCTGGGAACAATTGCACGACACTTTGAAACGTGGCTGCAAAGATTTGTTCCCATTTAGTCACAAAAGCATCAGTGAGTTCGGGCACTGATGTTAGGAAATAAGTCCTGGCTCACAGCTGGAGGTCCAGTTCATCCCAGAGGTGCGAAGCTGCTGGATTGGGCTGAGCTCAGGATGATCTATAGGCAGTGTGGTTCCCTTGATTCCTTTAACATGTTTAAAGTACCTCAAGTCTTGCAGTATGTTAAAGTTGTCTGTTAGTATGTTAATATGCTCCTTATGTTACCTCAACCTTGCGTATGTAGTTAACTATGCATAATGGCTATTCTGTTTGCACAGATCTATTTACCTGTAACTCACATTAAATGGTTTGTTCCCTATAGTCATATAAAACTTCCTTAATGTTCAAACTCTGCAGGAGCCCTTCAGCGGGACCCATTAATATCCTGTGCTCCTTGTATCTTTACTGCACATTTCAAGCAGTTGCGCTCACATGGCAATCAGTGCAATCTAACAAACTGTCCACAATAATATACAAGCTGCATAGAGTTTTTTTTTCTGGCTCTGGAGAAGCTTTATGTGTCATTGTTTCCCTGGACCCATAGAGTCTGAAAAATGTGTATGCAAACCTATATCAAGTTGCATTTTGCACAAGGTTTCAGAATGGAGAATTACGAATAAAAATACGTGCATATGTTTAATCAGTTTAAAGTACAATCAACATTTTTGAAATAACAGGAAAATGCATAGATTTTTTAAAAACAAATCAGGTAACACAGACTCATTGCCTTTACTGTGTACGGACTGTGCTGTTAATGCCAGCTCATCATAAGCCAAAAACAAAAAAACCTGATACATAACAGGGCTAAATCTGCTCCTGTTAAATTCCTAGGTAAAGTAAGAAAAAGCAAAAATGAAAGTAAGGATGAATGGTTTCCATATGAATGCATATGCTGCTTAACAGACTGAGCTTACTGGGACAGTTCAATATAACACAGCCATTGCTAGTTTAGTGGCAGCACATGCACCTTCCGTGCAATAAAGTCAATAATGTCTGCTGTAAAAAGGGGCCATTGTTTTGAAAAAGTCTCAAATACCCAATTTTAATAAACTGCAATACTTAGTCATCAGAGTACCCTTCGAAGCCAGAACACACCTCTAAACCAGAAGCATATGGACATAGGTGTCCATATACTTTTGGCCAGAAACAGTATGTCCTGTACCTACTCAGCAGCACCTCTGAATGCGCCTGTGCAAAGAAACAGCACGTCTAGTTTGACAGAGGAGCAGCAAACTGGCCTGTTTGGACTTCTGCACGATTACGTGCAGCTAGGCTATGGCACTGACAGTCAGGAGTCCTACTGCAAGTTATAATTTGAATGCACGTCACATAAATTAGCCACCTGGTGTCACTTTAGTTGAGCTCAGCTGTTAAATAAACAGCAGTCAATGTGGTAGCTCCAGAACATCCCAGGATCAAGTGCAAACTCAGAGCGCCGCCCAAAACTGCACAGGCTCAGCTGACTGAAATTTCAACTGCGTACCGAGGCAGTGCTACTGTGGCACAACGTTATCTAACATCAGCTGTTTGTCAGTAAATAAAAAAACAATCACTTTTTGCAGCTAGCACGCGCTGTCAAACTGGGGGCTGCGTGGCTAGCTCTCACCTGACAGGTTGCGTTTCTTGCCTTTACTGCCGCCGTTTTTGTCGTTGAAGCCCAGCGCTTCCGTGGCTCCGTCTTTGTCCTTACTCTTGTCTGTCGTGGCGGCCTTTTTGTCCCTCTCCCTGCCCTCCTTCTCCTTCTCCTTCTCCTCTGCCAGACCTGTCGACAGCGAATCCGCCATCTTCGCCAAACGGTCTCAGCCTCAGCTGCTGCCTGGGAGACTGCGTCACACGCGCTGACGTCATCACGCACCGTAGTTTTAGCGGTTCACCAGCAGATGTCCCCAGAAACTCCAAGATGATGTCTATTTACATAAATAAGGCATATATATATATAAACATAATAACAAACTACCATTTATATAAGTAGAACTGTCCTTCTAAATGCACAACCATCTTTGACCCGCTGACTCCCTGCCAATGTCAATGTAATATAATGTAATATTTATGATGTGGTTTATTGTTTATTTTATTATTTTTCTTATTATTATTATTATCCATCCATTATCTATACACTGCTTCATCCTCACAAGGGTCGTGGGGGGCTGGAGTCTATCCCAGCTGACTTAGGGTGAAGGCAGGGGACACCCTGGACAGGTCACCAGTCTATCACAGGGCTACACTTGGAGACAGACAACCAAGCACACTCACATTCACACCGATGGACAATTTAGAATCACCAGTTAACCTCAGCATGTTTTTGGACTTGTGGGCGGAAGCCGAAGAACCTGGAAAGAACCCACAGTGCATGGGGAGAACATGCAAACTCCACACAGAAAGACACGAACCGGCGACCTTCTTGCTGCGAGGCAACAGTGTTACAAACTGCATCACCTTGCAGCCCCTGCTCTGCTAACAGCAGGTTCCACAGGTTTTTATTATTAGGGTCCTTGCCGCTCCGTTTCTTCTTTCTTTCTTCTTCTTATTATTATTGTCCTGACCAACGTGAAACCCTTAATTAGACGCCCTAAACACGCTCAAAAACTCACCAAAATTGGCACGCACCTCAGAATCTTTTCTGTGTGTGTGTGTGTGTGTTGTTGCTTTTATTTTTTCAATGTTGTTGTGTAGAATGAATAAATAAATAATTCTGCCTTCAGAAGCAGTCGAGTCCAAATGCAAGTCTCAGCAACCAAGTTATCATTGTAATAAGTCGTATATCGGGAGGAATAAACCTTTCAAATCTCAACTTGTTTGTTAAAAAGCAATATTTGGATGGGGAAAAAAAACTTCAAAATTCTAGGTACTTGGACATGAAGTAGTGCTTTGTGTGGAATTGTCCTTGGATCAACCTTTTATATATTTTGAGAGAAATCAGCCTTTAGAACTATATCGCGCAGTTTGGTGATCATTCATTGTGGTAGGTGGCACTGGGCCCTGAGAGTGTGGCCCTGGGAGTGCTGCCTCCGTCTCTGCAGACACATACTATTAGGGCCTATATGCCGAGGGCCGGTTCTGCATGCAGTCTGCGGTGTGCACTGAAGCTGCTGTGAATGCACCAGAGTACACAATGTTCAGGGTTCAACAAATAATTTTTGCCCTGAGGCCCCCCTGATGTGTGGCTTGTTGAGTCTGTAAAATATTTCACTGGAAAAAGCATGAATTTATTTAGTCATATGCACCAAGTAAAAACAGCACCAGTGACACCTACATAGTTTAAAGCATGACTTTCTTTTTATTTCAAGGCAGCGTCTCAAGATCAGGTGCCAGCTTCATGGTGGTTAATGATTTAACCATCTCTTATTCACATACAAGCAGATTCAAAATTGAAGAATGACATAACAATACAAAGTATGCTCTTTAACGCAACAGCACCAATAAATGCAGACAGGTGACAGGTTAAAGGAAAAACCTGAGTACTTGATCCATACAGTGAGGGGGATCTTGTGGTACTGTTTGGTCCCACGTGTCTCTTTAGAGAGAAAAGTCACTGCAAGTCAATGCAAAGTTGTTGTGAGTGATCACCTTTATTCTGTTAAAACATTTCAATCCTGTTAAGAGTGGTCTCTCCCAGGATCATAGTACCCATCCATAGGGCATGAGCGGTCCAAGGCCTGCACACATTGGAACACCTATGAGAGATTTTCAATTATGTTCCAAAACCTCCATCCTCAAAACACCAAATGAGGGAATATGTTTTGAAATAATTATGTCTCGTCCCTCCAGTAGAGTTTCAGAGCCTTTGAGAATCAATACCAAGCTGCACTAAAGCTGCTCCTGCAACACATGGTGGCCCATCGTCTCACTAAGACACTTTCTATTGGATTTTCTATTAATTTGTTGGCCATATCACAATATAAATCTAAAAAATAAATAAAAACTTTTCGTGGAAATGTAAAACAATGTAAATATATTCTTACAGTTGGTGATATTTTACAGTCTGATCATGTTTTCGATGACAAATCCTGTCTGGTAAAGCACTTTAATGAGAAGTTATGAAGCAACCTATTGTACTACTGTAACAGAAAGTGTGACTCATGTTAAGTATGCTGCTCAAAGGTGTATTTGAGTCCATCAAATGCAGTTTAAACCACAGATATACACAAGATACAGCTTAATTAATAAGAGGAGCTTGCAGGGATGAGAGGGTCACCAAGCCTTTTGTTAATGCTCTGAGCTGACCTTTGGGCTCTGCCTTATAATGAACCACATCTGTCTTGGTGACAGATTTGACTGCCCTTATGATTTTACAGCTGTAGCTTCCACTAAGGTCACCAATCAGATGGCACACTCCTGCTTCCAAAGGCCAAGTCGCAAAGGTTAATTCGACCCATGAATAAAGAGGAGAGTGACAGAGAGAGGGAGCAGAAACCGTGCGCAGAGCTCGGATAGAGTTTCTCCCGGTAAGGGATCTCTTTGACCGCCATAGGTTCAGTTTCTGCGCCCTTGTGACTCACGCATCAATACATGCGACATCACACTACGAGAGGCCGCCTTTTAAAGTCCGATTATGATTCGTTTTCCTTTTTTAAACTGCAGAATAAACTCATGGTGATCGCCCAGCGCGCACCGCGGTCGCTGCCCGGCGTCGTGTCGCTTTCCTCGGGGCGCCATGGGCTCGTAAGATGCCTTCTCTGTGGAAACGGATAACGTTCTCGGTGGCCTCGGTGCTCTGCATCTTGTCGGTGGTCCTCCTGGTGGTGGCCCTGTCCACGGAGCGGTGGGTTACCGGAAGGATCCTGTGTAAAACCGGGGTGGACATCGTGAACGCGTCCGATCCGGAGCTGGACCAGTTCATCGGGGACATTTATTATGGATTGTTCCAGGGAGGCAAGACCAAGAAGTGCGGGCTCGGGAGAAGGCGCTCCAAAATCTACAGTAAGATCAGATACAGCCTGTTGCTCTGCCAAACGGAGGCCCAGAGTCTCTACATTGGTTACAAAGACTAATGTGCGATGAAATAAATAATCAGACTTAAGATAAAATGAGTTGCTGTACAACCATAGCCCATCAACCAAGCTTTTAATGATCGGTTTCTCAAGCATATTTTGAATAAAGATGATGCTTAACATGCAAGTTTCTCTGATGTAGAATAATCTAATCCTATTTAATTTTTCTTTACTGTATCATAATGAATGGTAGACCTAACACTTTGCAATAAGGCACCCTGTAGAGCAAATGAAGTTGTGACAAATTGTGCTTTCTAGATAGGTTTTGACTCATATGAAGAACTTTTGTGTTGCCACATTCCAAAAAAGATACATTTTTATGACCTAATTACAGTCACAACTGCACAAATGACGTTAAACCGTTTATTAATGACTTTTGTAACTACACACTTGGTGTTTTTGTCAGAAAATATTGCATTATTCAATGTATTTCTAACATTTAGTACTACTTTATCAGCAAATAATAATAATAATAATAATAATAATAATAATAACAACAATGATAATCACACCAGCCACTGAAACATAACACAACCCCAAAACCCCAATTTGATTGTGTAATAACTATTTTCTCTAACCGTTTTACCACTAACAAAACTAATAGATTCTAAGCCATAGAGAGAAGGAGAGCGGTAAAAGTGAAGGTTAAGGTGTCTTTATCTGTTTCCCTTGGGATAAATTTGGTTTAGACAGAGGGGTCTGCTGCACAGACAACACACACCACTCATACAACAATAAAATAAGCATCCAGGATAAAAACAAATGAAAATAAATAAATAAATGAAATAAAAGTGCAAATGCTTTGTCACATTGCTTAAAAAAAACGAGTGCAATGTGAAAAAATGAATACAGACACACCCCTTACACTGTTACACACATGGTTACCTGGATGACCTTACTGGTTGTCTTCTCTACAGTGCCTCAAAAAATCTGTGGAAATCTTTATCTGTATTTTAAGTTGCTAGTCTAAAAGAGGTACATTTTGAACACAGTGGAAAGACACTGGAATCCTCTTATAAAAGCTACACATATAAGCTCATGCTAAAATTCCCCAAAATAATAATAATAACTGGGAGGACATAACCTCAGTGTCCTCACCGTTGTTATTATTGCCCCACCTTCTTCTTCTTCTTGACTCCCAGTGATGACATTATGTGTGTTTCTCTTGTCTGTCCGGTTCTCTAGTTTTCCCAAAGCTTGTGCGGACGTTGAATGGTGGCCTTCACATGATGGTGATTCTGTTCCTGCTGGTGGCGGTCGGCTTCGCACTGGTCAGTCTGTCTTTCTGCATTTACAACGCGCGCAAGGTTCCCTACCAGAGCATCAAAGGGCACAAGGGCCTCTATCTGTGGAACTGCATCGCTGGTATGTCAGACTGAATCTTTCGTCCAGGCCCAAATTTTTTTCGTGAATCTTTGATTACTCTATTCCCATTCCTCTCCTAGAATGCCTTTCTCCCCTAATTACCCTCTTCTTGTGTTTCCAGCTCTGTTCGGTTCCCTTGGTGTTCTGTGTTTCCTGGCAGCTGTTAGACACCACAGCCTGACTGACCGGGTGGCAAACTATCGGGAGAACCTGTTTGTGCTCGTGGTCCTGGATGACAGCCTGGACTGGTCTTTCTGGCTCGGTGTCGGCAGTGTTGCGACTCACTTTGCTGTCTGTGGAGTGGTTGCCATGAGTCGGATTAAGATGCCCAAACCAGAGCCCAAGAAACCCGAAGAACCCACTATCACTGCTCTGGACCTGCTCTACTGAAGGACCGACCAGAGGACAGTGTTGTTAGCATTTCTGTCACTGAGGGCTGATAAGAGCAAACTGCAAAGACTGACAGCAGAGTGAAACCAACACAGTGCCAGAGCCCCTGCCTTTTGTAATCTACATGACTTCTAGGCTCATTACAGCCAGAATTACAGTCTTGTGACACTGTTTTTATGTAAATTCTCATTTGACAAATAGTTTTTCACTGATAATTATTTTAATTTGTCAGTATGAATTCATTGAAGGATTCAACCATTGACTGAAAGGTACTTGTTCACTCAAAGAGCCGTGACACATGATTTAACCTGCTAGAGGAACTGGGAGCTTCTGGGTCCTCATGAGGCCCAGTTTCTGTCACACTCAGTTTATTGCACTGAGCTTCTCAATGCCTGACTGGCAGCAGATAGCAGCTTTCCTGTGTGGTAATTTTATAAACTACAAGAATTTTGGAAAAGACATAATGAATAACTTTAAGTCTTGAAACTACATCTTGACTGAGGGACTCCTTTTGATTGAGACTTGGCTGCAAGATCAGGTAATGGTGCATTAACTTAGTGGCATATTTACCCAAAGACATTTTTGATTAGATTAACAGAACAGCTGAGACATACAGAGTTCAAAACTTCTGAGGCCATTGGAAGCCAGACCCATTGCCAACTTGTTCAGCGTTAGACTCGCTGTCTTAAAGCTGTTCAAAATCATTTTAAAGTATTAAATTAGCTTTGATGGGATTGGATTGACAGAAACACTGACATAATGTTTATATTTACTCTTTCAGAGTAAAAGTTGAATCACATATTTTTATAACCCAGAATGACAAGTTTTCCTTGGTGTGCTTTAGAATCTGTGCTGTTCACTATGTCCTCTTTGAGTCAGATAAAGAAAAACAAAAAAAAACCCCAAAAAACACTTTAACTGGAAAGAAAGGACACATCCCCAAAAGGGCAGCAGCAGAGTTGGGATCCTTCTTTCAGGACAGATAGACGTGCAATAGATGTCAAATTTCCATAAGATGCACGAGTTTCAAGCAGAAAAAAAAGAAAAAATGTCAAAGCGATGACAGTTCACTAAAGAAGAAAATGAGAAACTTCCTGGTGTCACAGTCCTCATAGAACCCGGACCACAAAATAAACCTGAGAGCACAGGCTGTTCTTTGTAATTTCCTTTAAAATGATGCCAAGCAGTCACAATGTACATCAGCAGCGTCACAGTTCAGTCTCCTGTTCATCCTGACAGAGACAGACTACAAGACTTAATACCTGTTGGTGGCTGCTCCCATCAAACTCATTGCTCACTTATTGACTCTGTTAACAGAAAATCACAGCAGAGGCGGAGACAGAATAAACAAGTGTTTTGTTCTGTTATCTGTGTTGGTTGATGTTTGCTGCTGCAGAGGATCAAAGCGTGATGGAACTGAAAAAGCCTCGGACCTTCAATCTCAACCTCCATGTCCTTGGACCGTAGACATTCTGTACTGTTTGTATGTTTTTCACTGTATGTATGGACTGTAATATGTAGACTTTTTAAATAGCACTTCATGACATCAGAGTAAAATCTCAAGTATTTGGTGTAAGTCAAGTCTTTTGTTCATTTATTTATATTTGCATTATCATCATTTGCATGGTTATCTTTGATTCATTTAAACAGGTTTTACCAGTTGAAGTGGCTGAAATAGTGCAACAAATGATAGCATGACCATGCATAAATGGGAAGAGTTAAAGGAAGGAACTTTGAGTTTCATTCAGTTCTATATTTGCAGCTCTGTATGCAGGTCAAAACTAAAACTATTTTGAGCATGTTGCAAAACATCTTTGCAAATTAGCTTGAGCGTTGTTGAAAGACTTTTATAATGTGTAATAGATGAAACTTTTGCAGAGTTGAATGCAGGGCTTTTTGTTATTTTTCTTCAAGTTGCATCCTCGTATTCAGAGAAACTTGAGTTTAAACATCTGATAAGCTTGTATTTGTTGCATATATAATACATCAATTAAACATTAACTACAGTAAACAATTCTTTCTCTTTGTGTTTTTGTTAAATGTATGACCTCCAAGGTACTGATGCTTTGTCTTTGTCCTTTAAGATACTGTCTACAGTACATTACATTCTATTTTTCTCAAAAAATAACCTAATCTGAGAAACAATAACTTTTGAAAAGGAGATAGATCTCTCAGATATAATTTATTTGTACTTTAACACAAANTTTGAAAAGGAGATAGATCTCTCAGATATAATTTATTTGTACTTTAACACAAATGTTTTTTTTTGTTGTTGTTGTTGGTTTGAAGAACAACAATAGTGCATTTGTGGTATACATTATGAAAAAAAAAGTTTGCTTATGAAATGGCTGGAGGCCTAAAACTACCACAAATAGTAATAGCAAGAAAAAGAATGATATTGAGTTTTTTTCATGTCGAGTGTGTGAGAGAGTCTTCACTGGGAAATACATTCCTATTAATAACCGGCTAATACGAAAGTAAAGTTTTGTGTCTGTTTGTTGCAGATAATGGAAAGCCTCTTTGACAAACGCTTGTAAAAACTAAATGACATAAAATACATATAAAAAATTTCTAGATTTAAATTAAATGCATAGACACATAAATAAAATCTAAAGTGTGTGTATTTAAATTGCACAAACCCAACTATAAATCTTTTATTTCAAAAATATAATATAATATATGTTCTGCAAAGTTCTTTTATTTCCCAGAATGTTCTTCTTAAAGGCAGGATAAAGTTCTTTAAAAACGTTCTTAGAACATTTTATGTTTGTTGCATGGAGAACCTCCTTCCTTTGTCATTATGCAACATTGTGAGAACTTTTTCTAGATGTACTACCTTGACAGAAACATTCCCAAAATATTGTCAGACTATTGATGGCAAAACGTTTCAACTTTGTTATTCAATTACAGGAACATTTCATAAACACACATTCTTTTAATGGCCTTGATCTTGAAAACTTTCTTTGAATGTTGGCTTGAGAACATTCTTTTTTGCTATCATGTAACATAATCTGACAACATCTTCCAAACATCCTCTGTATGTTAAAATGTTCCGCCTTCGCAAACTTTTAACTTCATCGTCACATTAAAAATTATAATGATAAATATCCTTAAAAAGTTCTTTGAACATTAAATTAACATATTTTTCTTTCAAACATTAATAAAACTTGTAGATTATAATGCTAGCCAACGTTATGGGAACCTTCCCTGCTTTCTGGGATGCTGTTACCTACTTTTGGTAGCTTTATGTCAGCTAAATTAGATGTTTTTTTCCTTATGTACAAAAGAATTTGTTAGATAAGCGAGACTATATCACCTGTAAAGCTGCCTAAGGTGTTTAATAGTTTGAAATGTTAAAGAGATTAGCAGAAAAATAATGTTAAACGTGTTTAAAGGTGGACAAACCAACATGCTAGTTTCTCCCTATATTTACATCTGTCGCTAGGTGGCGACAAAGGCCTATCTGGTCACTTGTTGGTGACGTAGTAAAAACGCGACGCTGTGAGGTTGTTACGCTTCCGTTCATTTCGCACATGTGTACGACCTTTAAATCTGTGGACAAGTAGTTTTTTTTTTCAGGTATATATGTTCAGCAGGTGACAATGTTTCTCGTGAGGAGAGCTGTGCAGCCGGCGGTGCGGACGAACTCCTGCAGGTCATTTTGTGTCTCACAGACTCACCTGAGCGACAGAAAAGTGAGTAGTTTCCCCTGCAGCTGACAGAGTTACAGCAGTGACTCAGGCAGGACTCATCCACACTTCACACTGTGTTTCGCGGGGTCTAATCTATTCAACTGTGTGCGAGTTTAGGTGGTGTGCTGCTTCATCGGGGTGTGGGCGTGTTTGAGTGTTTTCACCTTCTGCATCTTCTCTCTGTCCATAATAAACCGAGCTGCTGTGTTCGTGTGTCTGCGCAGGGTCTGGTGCTGGGAGTGTTTGACAAGGAGGAGGGAGAGGAGGGCAGCCTTCATCTCACTGAGGCTGCAGCAGGGTTTGATAAGTCTCTGTCTGGAAAACTGTCAGAGCTGCTGAAAATGTGAGTCTCTGCTAACCTGTAGACTGGCAGCACGTCTTGTTTTGTGTTGACAGCAACCAGTTGTAATGTGAAGCTAATGCAGTGTACTGCAGCCGTCCTACTATAGTTCTACCTCTATGATTTTTAGAATGTTGTAAAAATTGTTGTTAAAATTTGCCAACAGATATGTCTTTAGGGTAATTTTGGAGTCTAAACCTGCAATCTTGGTTCTGCTATCATTGGAGACAATATTAAAGCTCAACCAATAAAATAATTTTAGGGCTGATACCAGTTTTAGGGAGTAAGAAGTTCTCAATTCCTTTCTTCTTTTTTTCTTCCACAAACTAGTTGGAAACTTACAGTCGTCCTCAAATGTATTCATACCCTCCCATTAACGACGGAAAAAACAGCTGTCACTAAAATAAGTTGAAATTGACAAAAGTAATAGTAAATAAAAACTGAATGAAAATCATGACATTGCTTTTGAATTGTGGTTCAACAGAAATATTTAAAAACAAAATAAAAAAACAAGCAAACAAACGTGATGGGACCGGTAAACTGCTATTTTGTTGAACAACCTTTTGAGGCACTCACTGCAAAGTGTTTTCTGTAACTCTCAGTCATATAACTCTCTTATCTACTATTATTTTTTTCAGTTTCTAGTTATTTGAGTGACTATTGTGAATTTTGCATTTTCTTTAATGGAAGGGTATGAATTCATATGAGGATGACTGTACCATGAAGATACAGCTTAACTGTGCACCACTGTCTGCTCACCTGTGATATGCAGTCTGCTACATGTGCTACAGACAAGAGTTTTGTAAAGAGTGTAGTCACAGCTGCTCTGCTTGTTAAACTATGTGATGACACTATCTCCAAATTACTCCAAGTATCTCTATTATATTCCATGAAAGAAAGGTTTCATAATGCAGATAAGTCACACATATATATCGGTATCAACATATATGTTGTCTGATATATTATAT